AAAATCAATAAAAAAAAAAAAAAAGAAAGAAAAAGCGCAGGGACGCTTGGGGAAAGTAGCGGTGGAACGGGGCACTTTGCAGCCGAGATCCGAGGGATCTGCCGGGCCGTACGTTCGTGGAGTGGCCGGGAGAGTTGGGCACCATTAAAGTTTTTATTTTACGTGTCTGTGCAAGCAGGTGTTTGGGCCTGGGGGCCGGCTTTATCCGTCTCTCATTTCGCGGGGACAGCCCACCCGGAGGGATTAGGCTAATTACAGCCTCAGGTCTGAATCCTTAGGCTGGGGCGGAATTGGGGGTCCGGGCGGGGATTCGGGGAGAATTGCATTTAATGAGTGGGCTTGGGGAGGGGTGCGCGGAGACAAAAGCAGCAGGTGGGGCGGCCAGAGAGCGGGGTATCTCCTTTGCAACCCCAGGTGCCGAAGGGAGATCTCTGAAGTGTCCTGAAGCCTTTAATTAGAACCTAGAGGATTGGAGGTTCCTTATTCTTTCCCTTTACTTTTTTGGGGATCAGGTAGCAATTGTGATGCCTTGTAGACAGGTCTAACTTGAGGATGTGTTGGGCGGTGGGGGGTGTCTCCATTTTTTTTCTTTCCCTGAGCGTATGTCAGTCGGAACCTGGGCTCCCGTGCGGGATTCCCCGGAGGAGGCGCGCCGGGGCCCGGGAGAGGCGCGATTTCCTCCTGGCTCGCCCCCTTTCCGCCCACCCCGCGGCCGCCACTTTGGGGAGGGCAGGGGAGGAAGTGGAGGCCGGTGGCTCGGCTGCGCTCCCCTCCCCCCGCGCAGTTTATAACCCGTCCATTGTGCGCCGCTGCCCCGTGTCTCCTCCAGCGCGACCATGCCCAGGAAGAAGGCGGCGGCGGCGGCCTGGGAGGAGCCGAGCTCCGGCAACGGCACAGCCCGCGCCGGGCCCAGGAAGCGCGGCGGCCCGGCGGGCAGGAAGCGCGAGCGGCCCGAGCGCTGTAGCAGTAGCAGCGGTGGCGGCAGCAGCGGCGACGAGGACGGCCTGGAGCTCGACGGGGCCCCCGTTGGGGGCAAGCGCGCAGCGCGGCCGGCAGCGGCCAAGGCGGGCGGCGCGGCCGTGATTATCACGGAGCCGGAACACACCAAGGAGCGCGTCGTGAGTGCGGGGCCGAGCCAGGGGCCTGATGGTGGGGCGGGTAAATGGGGGCGAGGGCAGCGGCGCGTCATTGCGCGCGTCCCGGCGGGGGCGATGGGGCCGGCGCAGGCCGCGGGCTGAATCATCGCCGCGGCACAACAAAAGGGCGCGCGGGCCGGGGGCGGGCGGCGGCCCGGGCCCAGGCCTACAGACCCCGTCGCTACCCGCCCGCGTGGCCGTTGGCCGTTGGGGCGCGCGCCCCGGGCCCCGCCGGGGGAGGGGCGGCCTGAGCCCGCGCCTGGGGGTCATGGCCCCGCCCCCGGCGCCGCTCCAGCCGCCTCCCTCCGCCTCCCCTCCCCCGCCCGCCCCGGGAAGGGAGACTTTCTGCAAGTTGTCTTGGGCTGGAGAAGGGACGAGCGCGCGGGACGCTGGGGACGGCACCGCGTGTCCCGGCCGTCGCTGGGTCTCTGGGGCTGTCGGCCTGCCGGGGCGTCGCGTGGGGAGGGGGCCGCCGGCGTGCTGAGGGGAGCGGCGGTTTGCGCCGGGGCTTTGAGGTTCCCGCCGCCTCGGCTCCGGCGCTCCGGGGGGGCGGGGCCTGGCAGTCGCCGCGCATGCCCTGTGCTGCCCTGCGCCGTCTCGCGCCGCCGGGGAGGCGGGGGCGACCGGCGCCGGGGCGGGGTGCGAGGGCGCATGCTCCGAAAAGCCCTCTGCCGGAGGTCCAGAAGCCCCCCATCCCCACGGTCTGAGAGGTGTTTGGGCTTTGTTAGCCACTTGTGGTCCCAGGGCGCACGGGTGCACACTGGGTTCTGTGTAGCCCCCCCAGGGGAGAAGCATGTCCTGTGGTCTGAATGGACTTGAATTTGCCAGTTGGAGTGGGGCCTTCAAATCTTGACCACTTCCACTTCGGTAGCTCCAAAATCCTGCAGAGCCAGAGATGATAACTTGGGGCCTGCGATCGTCAAACCCAATTTTAATGTGGAACGTTGTGTTTACGAGAGGGTCAGAGCTTTCACCAGATTCTCAGTTAACTTCAAAAGAGTGAACTTCCAGTTAGGCTCGGAATAGGGTACCTGGAGAGGCCCTTCCCCTCTCCGAATGGGGTGTGGAGAATTAACGGAGGATGTCTGAGGGTTAACTGGTCCACAGCACTTTATCCCACAGATGCTCAGGCAGCTTAGAGGGGTAAAAACAATGCGTTTCTACATCTGCTTTATAGATGAGGAAGCTGGGGCTGAGGTTGAAGGGCCCAGCCCAGGATCGCATGGAGCTAGATTTCCACCGGGCTTAGGTATTTTCTGATGTCATCTTTAAGGCATTTGCAAATTGTTCATGTGAAAATGCTTTGTAACTGTCCTCCGAGGGAAGAGGTCAGTGTTAGGTGGTGAGGCAGCCAGAGGCGATGGAGAGCCCTGGTCCTACCTTACCTCAGGTCTGGGACCAGGTGAGCGCCCAGAAAATTATCACAGGATTAAGAAGACTGAAGCATAGGAACTGTTTTCCTTTAACAAATTCAGCCCTCTCTGAGGCTCCAGACATTTGCCCTCCCATGGCTGGGTGTTAGGAGAGAACTGGAAAGAAAGGCCAGCTGGGCTCTGCCTCCACTGTATCTTCTCCAGTGAGTTCCTCAAAGGAAGACTGTCAGATGCAGGGCTCCAGACAGCTTGTTAGAACAATGAGTTGTGTTGTCGGGTGGTAAGAAATTCATACCCCAATGCTGAGATTCACCCAGAAATGGTAGTCACCGAGTGCGCAAAGGGACCCCAGGCTCTCCCCACCCCAGCACTGCACGCAGCCGGCTTGTCTGATGTAAATGGCATTTTCTTCGCCTTCCTGGAAGTTCCCATTGCTCTTTGGAGTGGACACAGCAGAAGCAGCAGTCTGGGGCAGTTAACATTTGCTTTGTGTTTATATCTTACAGATCTTGAACTGCTTGACATAAATACGTGTATGTACATACATACACATATCCATACACCCCACCTCCTGAAACAGCAAGAGGGCAGTTTCCCTTGGATGGGTCAGCACACTGTCCTAGGCTTTGTGCATCCAGGAGACAGACAGGGGTAACAAATGATGCTCTTTTATGCCTTATGGAAAGTACACACCCCAAATTCTAAGTTTTCATTAGTTCTGTTGAATGAAGGCCAGCCCCATGCTGCCCCATTGCCTCCCCACCAGCCTCCCCACCAGGTGGGCACTATCCCTGGGTGGACCTCCTGCCCAGCATCCCTGGCCCCAGGTCCCTGGACTCTGCAGGCAGTACACGGCTGGATCTGAGCAGTCTGCAGATCCTGTGTGCTGCCACAGGCCAACAGCAGTCCCTGGCTTGTTTAGAAAGAGGCTTTTTACTGAAAATCTTGCAAGCCGAGCTGCTTGAAGGAGCTGTGTGTGAGCAGCTGCCAGGAGTTGTTTGAAACTACAGTTAATCAAAGCTGTAGATGTTGGGCTTATGAAAAATGAACTCCAGGTACTTAAGCTGGTTGAGGTTGCTTTGAGTAAAAAGGTGTGTACTTCTATAAAACATGATTTCAGTCTTAGAAAATGCTCTTTCCAGGGATCACGGGTTTATATGTAGTCATGTCAGATGCACATTTTATGATTGTCTAGGGTGATGCAGCCCGAATTCCCTGTGAACTTCTTAACCCTGTAGGGTAAAGCAAGCAGCCTGGGCTGACTCCTTAGAAAACAGGTGAGTGTTGTAAGCTGTCTAGGTTTTTGTAGTTTTTTCAGTGTTGGGTTGCTAAGATTTTGTGATCCTGAGACAGATCTGTCCCATCTCAAAGGACCAAATAAATAAAACTGAAAACCGAGGTGGAAGTCTGTTGTAGTTGATAGCCCTTTGGGGAATTTGTTGTAGCCTACATTTTTCTATAGGGGCTTCCCTCTGCAGAGAGTAATGTTTTCTAAATGGATATATGTTAAAAGATTGACTCTTGGCCTCATAAACGTACTCCTTGCACTTAGGCAATAACTCAAAAATTGCTTTGGACCAGAAACCTCATTTTGTTGATTGAAGAAGTTTAGTGCATTTTTCTGCTGTGGCCCTTCGTCTCGGCCCAGCTTACGTGCCTGGGTTGTTGGGAAACAGCAAGGTGAAATGAAATTTCTCTCATCCTGTTGGAGACTGTTGTACCAGCGTTTCTGACACGTGGCCTTTAGACAGTGCAGTATCAGACCTGAGGTCAGCCAGAAAACCATCTCTGGGCCCATCAGTGAAACTGGGTTATGCCTCCAAGGGGTCATATCACCTCTGGGTCTCAACCCTGACAGCCATCACTGGAGTTCCTTGGGATGGACACAGAAAGCATCAGGGTCTCGCCCACCCTATGGGCCAGTTAGGTCTATGACAAGAAGAATAAGGACTGTGATTTAAGAGATGTTAAGAGTTTTGTTATTTTAATTATTTCACATAAGATGGAAGAATTAAGTTATAGAGGCGTAAAGGTACGGCCTATAGCAAAAAATTGCATAGATGATAAGTGATGGAATACAGCTACTTATCTCCATGTAATGTGTGAGGAAAGGAGCCCATGACAACCTGAGTAAAATGACAGTTCCCTTCGTAGGGATCAGACCACTGTGACTGGAACAAGCTCGGTTTACCAAGGTTTTCCAGATAACCCATGTCAGAAAGGCTGGGTTTTTGTATAAATGCTTAGCTGATTTGATGGGCCAGTATCCACAAGCCCTTGACCCCCTCATGTGGCTGCTGGCACCTCTAGGTCACAGAGGAGGCTGCTCCCGTCCAGAGCAGCGTCAGGGGCTCTGGCAGGTGGAGCTCAGGTCCTGCAGTGACCAGCAGCACTGGTGTGCTGTCTCGGTCTTGAACAGTGTAACTTTGTCAGCAGGTGCTGCACATTAGCACTTGTGAGTCAGTCCTCTGCCCGCTTTGGGGGACAGGAGGCCTCCTGGCCTGAGGATGCAGTCCTTGCAGTGCCCTTCTGCACTGTTCTCTTGCCCAGCAGCTCATACCACAGTGCCTTCCATCCGGGGTCTCTGCTGCCCCCTCCACATGGACCCAATCAAGAACGGAGAGCTCATCAGTGACCCAGAGCTACGCCTTCCATGGGGAACTTGACAGAACTGGCTGCTGTTTGCCACCTGCAGTAGACCTGCAGGAATGTTCAGCCAGGCTGGTCAGTTGAACAATGAAGGGAGATAACCAGGGGAAACTAGGCTCTTATTCCAGTAATCTGAGTCTTGGCCCCAAGGGGTGGGACTGCTCTCTGATCAAGGTCGCTTTCTAAATATTTAAGCATGGTGAAGTATTCTCCAGTCCAGGCTGTTCGTTGCCCCTTCGCAAGCTGGCTGCAGGATGTGTCCTGTAGCTGTACCACCTTCCTCCAGCTGCGTAAATGCAGGCGAGCATGATGGGACCTGTACTGTGGGTGTATTCTGATGCCAGGTTTGGGTCACGCAGAGTCTCCCTGGGAAACAGAATCATTCATCGGGAAGATGTGTTCCTTGTACAAATGCATGCACCTTGTTGCCAGAACATCCCAGCAGGGCAGCCACTGTAGAGGTTAGAGTGACTGCATCCTGAGCTGTTTGGCTTTTTTTCTCGAAGCCTTCTAAGAACAATTCCATGAACTGAAGGAAATCTTTCTTTTTAATGGCCTGGAATGGCGATGTAAAGGATGAAGGCAGAGAGGGAGGGCACAGCTGCCCTTGCCCAAATGGAACTGAGTGGGTAGCTCAGAAGAGAGTCTTTGCTATTCAGAAGGTGTTTTGGGGCATTTCAGATAATAGAGCAAAGTGCTGAGAAGATTATGGGGACCTCTCTGAATTGGACAGTGGCCTGTTCAAATGGTGCATATTCCCACTGATGCCTGGGAGTGTGTGGCCCTGAGTGTTCTGTGTTCTGTGTCCATACTCTGAGGGTGGAGACCGGACGGCAGGTGACCACAGCCCCTCCCTCTCCAGCTGGCCCCTGGGGGTTACCTTGTCCCCCTCACCACTGCTCAGCTGGCTTACTGCCAGTGGTGAGGATGCACTGAGGGCGGACTGCCTGGGTCAAATCGCCCAGCCACGACTCCCAGTTCTGCCTGCTGTGCTTAACCTGCTGATGGGGAAAGCAAATCCAGTGCTGTTTGGCGCTGGGTGCAAGGCAGCACCCAGAGGATGATGGGGAAGTCAGCTGGAGTGATGCTGTGCAGAAGGGACTTGGGGCTTGTAAGGCTGAGGTCCCCGTGTGGAGTGCTGGGCTGGCCATGGGATAATGTAGACTTCGCCCCACAGACAGCCAGCTTTTGATACTCCTGTGTGACACAGCAGCCCTCCTGCAAATGTTGCATACGGGAGGAATGTCATTTGGCTTACTATTTAGCGTTTTGCAAAAGATATTTTACAGAGAAATAGAGGAATAAATGTGAGCCTAAACAACAAAGCTGCTGGGCAGGTTTGGGGTTACAAGCTGCTGGGCAGGTTTGGGGTTATGATCATTGAAGCCAATGAGGGGTGATGCCTCGGACTCTTGCTGTGCAAGCCGCTGGATGGAAGTACTAATAAAGCATTGATTCTTTTTTTTTTTTTTTTCTGCTGTCATTGGACAGCCTAAGAAAGGTAGAAGCAACATTGTAAGCTAATTTCTTTTTCCCTGTCTCTCTGTCTCTAGAAACTTGAAGGGTCTAAGTGCAAAGGGCAGCTTTTGATTTTTGGGGCAACCAACTGGGACTTGATTGGTCGAAAAGAAGTGCCTAAACAGCAAGGTAGGAGAAGTGCTTTCGGAAAAGGTATGAAGCTACTACTTACTGAGCGCTTCCTGTGTTCTAGGTGTTCAGTGCAATTCTGGTGACCAGCCGCCAGGTAGGTCATCTTTTCATTTACAGGAGTATTCAGAGAGGCCAAAGACTTCCGTGGCTGCACAGCCACTCTAAAGATGGAGCGAGATTTGAACCTGGTCTTGTGTGAGTCTCTTACTTTATAAATATGGCTTTAAAAAAGCCAGTTCCATTTAAGATGAACCAGAAAAAGTATAAATAGCAGCTTCAAATGCACATCAGCACCTTTCCATGTTCTCATGTCTCTTACTTTGATTAAAATAAAGAGGCTGGTCCTGTGGAATATCACAATGTCCTAGATGTTTGTCACAGTCACATGTCAAACTTGGTAGATGTTTCAGAGGAGTCCACGGTTCCTTGTCAGTTGCCAAATTGTTCGAGGAACTGGCTTGACAGAGCCAGTAACAGCCTGGGGGGTGGAGGGGAGTGGAGAAGTCCTAAGAAACAACTTCCCCCTATTGCTTTTAGAAAATGAGTATCTTCCCCTCAGGAGAATACTGGCCCATCCCTGAGAAGTGGAGCCTGGCACCTTGCCACATTTTATGGCTTCTTGATTTCCTTTGGAAAGAGGCCCAAAGTACTTTCCAGCATTGCACAGTGAACAAATATTTGCACACTGTTACTCCTAGCGCCTCAAGACGGGCGGTGGACAGTTGTACTCTGAGGACAGTAGGAGTCTCAGCAGTGCTCGGGGTCCAGCTGAGCCAGAAATGGGTCTGAGCCATTTTCCTCCTGTTGTGGAAAATGCCCAGCCTTCAGGGACCTGTCTGCCTGGCAGCTGGTGTCCAAGGAACGCCACCTGGTGTGTACTGACCTGAGCTCTGTGTGTGCATCGTCCCTCAAAGCTGCTCTTGAGGTGAGGGGCCCACTCGTTCTTACAGACCCTCAGGCCGAGAGGGGGAGTATGTTCCAGAGGAGAGCCCAGTGGCAGAGCCAGGGTTGGCACCTGCGGGTGTTGGGTGGGATGGGGCAGTGAAGCCGGGCCCACTCCTCACCACCTCACACCTCTGAGGACAGAAGACAGGGAAGTCACCTTGCGGCTCTCATGCTCTGGTAGAAGGGATTTTGCCCTAATGGCTCATTTGAAGAGTGCTTTTTGTCTCCCTCCTGTTCTACCATTGCTTTCCTAATTTTTCTCCCTCCAAATGAAGTTTTATGTAATTTAAAAAAAAAGTTCAGTATTTTAAAATATCTTTTGGCCCTTCGTGGCCTTGCCATCAGACATAAAAAGGAAGGGAGGGAGCATTTGTTTCTCCACTGGTGCCAAACGAAGGGAAGAACGATTCTTCTTGCCCCCATCCCCTGCCCTTTTCCAGTGTGTTCCCTTGAAGCCTGCCTTCCCTGGGGGAGAGCCTGTCGGCTCCACAGTGCCTGGCTCATGAACAGGATCGCACAGTGGTTCGTGTTCTCTCCAGCTAGGACCAGGCGACGGGCTGCTGACTGCCGGCCTGGCTGAGGGGCCCAGGACTTGGGCTGCCGGGCATTTAATCTGACTGGGATCACGGGTGGGGTTCCTGGGAAGCCAGGAGAAACCTGCCTGCCAGGAAAGCTAGGGCACCTCGGGCATTGGTGTTGATGGGGCTGCTGTAGGGAAGGCAGTTGGGCAAATCAGAGCCTCTCCTTGCCCGTGAGCCAAGCTGGGCCGACTGTGGCACGGCTTTCCTACGGTGGCCCTTGGCGCTGTGTGTTCAGATGAGACGTCAGTCACGCCACTGTTCTCTTGGCCTTCGTGATCAACAGGCCTTCGCAGAACCCGTGAAGCCTGTTGTTTTTGGTTTGCTGTTTCCCTGGAAACTTGGTTTTCCTTCCACCTGTTAGCGTAGAGGGGCATCCTTGGGTGGAGCCGCTCAGGAGTGTCACTGTGTGATACGGCTTGTCTGGACTGCTTAATACTGGGGGGGCCCTGGCTCTGCTGCCTGACCAGCCCCTTGTACTGGTGGGGTACAGGCAGGGTGGGGATTGGTGTTGAACAATTTCACAGATGCTTTTCCAGTGGAGCCGGGAATTGGTGGAGAAACCAGCCATTTAGTCAGTTCTTCATCCACACCAACCTGACAGTTTATCTGGTAGTGGCTTGCATTTCGAAACAGTAACAAAAAAGCACAGTAGGAAATAATAAGCAGAATCGGCCATGCCCCGTGCGCTAATGGGCAGAGTGGGGGCCTGGAGGGGGTGGCTGTTGGGTCCTCCCTTCTGAGTGCCTCCTAACGCTACCGAGTGCTCTCTGCGCAGCAGGTGTTTGGGAGACCCCCAGATTCACAGGGCACTCGGGTGTGGGCGGAGAGGGCTTCCCAGAGGAGGGGTGCTGACCCAAGGTTTGAAGAACAAGCAGGAGCAGGGAAGGGCAAGTACATGTGCAAAGGCAAGGGGGTCATGACGTGGCCAATACAGCGGGGCCCCTGAGAAAGGAGGAGACCAAGTGGTGGGAGCTGGAGTTGGGGGAGGACTGTTGGTGGGGCCCTTCTGCCAAGGGCCTGATGGGTGTATAGAGAGGGCAGGAGTCCACTGCCAGCTTCCCTGTTTGGGGCCGTCCCCCACAATGGGACTGCAGGAGGGATAGCACCCCACCTTTGGGCCACTTGGGCAGTGGCACCTGGGTCTGAGGTCCCTGTGCATGGGGCAGAGATGGAGGTACAGCCACATCAGTGCTCAGATGGCCACTGACTCGGTCTGTGCCAGCTCTGGGGCTAGTTCTTTCCAGGAAGCCCTGCGGTTGTTTCAGAGGAGAACGGACCCTTGGTGGCTAGTGACATTTTTGGGGGTGCCCTTCACCCATCAATCACTGGGTGTTTGATTTGCGTTATTGTTCTCGTTGCAGCTGCTTACCGCAATCTTGGTCAGAATTTGTGGGGGCCCCACAGGTACGGGTGCCTTTCGGGGGTCCGGGTGCGGACAGTGGCTTCGGGTTCATGTGCTGCCCATAGCCTCCTCATCACCACGGAAGGGAAGCTGTGGAGCTGGGGTAAGTACCATGCTCAGCGGGGCAGGGGGTGACTTAGGCCAGTCCCCCTGGGGTGGCCTTCTGCCTTCTCAGGCTCTGCTGCCTTCCATGCAGCCCTCATTTCCTCTTCCTGATTCCCAGCTGGTCTTGTCTATTCCCTATACACACCCCCCCACCTCCCCTTTTCTGCCATGTGTTGTACATAACCCCCTAATTATTAGAATTCTCTTGAATAATCTTTTCCTGAATGTTCTGACTAAATCTGGATCTTTCTGATCTCGAAGTGCCTGGAATTGAACTCCTATTTTAGGCACACCGTCCCCCCAACAGTTCCCCTTCCTGCTTTGTGGCACAGTGTGACGTAAGAGCTGTGTTCTTTAAATACCTCCGGCTTTGATGACAAGCCGCCGTGTCTGCAGTCCTGTCCCTCCGTTTCTGGGTATCACAGGTTTTGTGCTTGTGGCCTATTTTGTCTGTTTCTTATTATATTTCCCTGGATAGTTAAGGATACTTTTTCTGAGTCGATTTGCTTTCCCCACTGCTGGATCCCCTTGCCTGGGTCCTGGGAGGTCCCCGTCCTTGGCCTTTTAGCAGCCCTCCAATGTCAGTGTCCCCGACAGAGGGCTTCCAAGCAGTGCCACCCATTTCCTCTTCCGGATCATTAATCCAGGTATTGACTGAGGCTTAGTTCAGCCCCACGCCCTCTGGTAGCTCCCAGACTCTTCCTCCAGCTGGGTACATTGGCATTTGTCCCTGCCCTTTGTTTCTGATCCTGTGGCTGACTTTTAAGTCCATATGACTGCATTTTTATTTTGGTCCATTTGAACCATTTTTTGCAATTTCATGAGCTGCTGTATGAAAGTCCAAATATATTAACATCTGTTGTCTTCCCCGTACTTTGCTAATTTTGTAATTCTGTTGAAAAAAGATAACAAGCATGTCTGGCCAAAATTTAAACTGTATAGTTTATGGATGACATGCTGACATTGCCATGATTTTCCTTTTCTCCCGGTCTGCACAGAGGTGGGCCCTCCCCCAGCAGTCGTCCTCCTCCTCTGTGTTCCCGCACGGAACACGGCATTCTGTGTCAGCTCCACACTTCAAATACCTCAGTTCTGACCTCTTTACTGAATTCCACTTAATGTGGTGCTTTAAAAAGGTGCCTCATATTGACCTGGGCAGGGAATGCTTCTGAAGGCTGTGCGTCTTAACTTGGCACGTCCCACCCCCTGGCAAAGATGTGGTCGTGTTCTGTAAGCGGAGTTGGCATTGCAGGGGGTGATGAGCTTGTGGGGGTGTGACGAGCCCGCTGTTCAGCAGAGGTTGTCCAGTGTCCATAAGCATTAGCGCTACGGTACATCGCTGCGCCTGTCAGCCTCTTGGGCCTCTTGCTTGCGCTGACAAGCCACAGCCAGCACTTGGCTTTGCATTTAAAGCACCTTTCACAGTGAGCTTGGGCAGCTCCTGTTAGAAGCTGCTGTTTGCCTCTCCTACCAGCAGACTGGAATCAAAGTATAATTTTGAGGGCAGTTTTCCTCATAAAGCCAGAAGCTATTACTTCTCAAGCCCTCTCAGGACACCTGGTGCTTGTCTTTGTTGCTCTTGCTCCTGCCTTTCTCATGATTAACACTGTTGGGAAAAGGTGCCGCCACCCATCCCCCACCCATCACACACAGTTGCCCTGACTTTTTGGCTCCATAAAATGTTCAGAAATCTCCCCAAACATTCAGTTCAACCGTGGTTTTTCTCCTGGCTTAGCAGGACCCATGAGTGGCCCATAGAGTTGTTTTGTTTTGGAATCACTGTAGCATGTGTTGAAAACTAGGTAAGGTGTGGGGGCATCCAGCTGCCTCCAGGCCCCCCCAGAGCACCGAGTCTGCTCTGGAGCTGAGGAGCTTTGCCAGAGGGCTTGTGCACCGCCGAGGATTCGTGGCAGAGGTTGGCCTGTTCGGGCCTTCCTGCCACCTGACCGCGTGTCTGGTGCCGCCCCAGAGGTGGATGGTGGCCGGTGGCAGAGAGGGCTTGTGTTCCGAGCAGGTCCTCTGTCCACCGCCAGGGTTCATGTGGCTGGGGTGGTCTGCAGAAGGTGGGGTTGCACTGTTCTGTGAGCATCGTTCACCTGGCAGATGAGAGAAATGACAGGTAGAAACCAAATGGGCCATGGTAGATGTCCCAAGCCCTGAGGTAATTAAACACGCGTGGAGCAGGTGTCAAAAATGGTTTCTCTTAAAATACATCTTCAAGTGGAGGGAACGAGGGAATTGTCTGACAGGTACTGTGAGAAGTGACAACTGATTTTCTATGAGTTTGAATGTTGTATGCGCGTCAGGCCAAACCTAGCTTTCCTTCTGTTCCCCCTGGTAGCAGAGAACTTCCGAGAGTGCTCATGTGTGGGTCCCAGCTACCGTCCCAGAAAAGGGGGTCAGAGTAGGGGAAGTAGGTGGCTGCTGGCTGGCAGCTGCCTGCAGAGCCCTCTCTCAGGAGGGCACCATATGGCTTAGCCGGGTCACCCTACCCCATGGGGGCATGCCTACGATGGCTGCCTGGTGTCCGAGAGGCTGGGGCTGGCTTTTCACCTTGTTCCTGGATGTGGGATTTGGAGAGCGTGTCTGCTTGCCCCCTGAAGTCACCCTGACTCCTTCCCACTTCATCTTGCTCTTACCTGCAGGTCGAAATGAGAAGGGGCAGCTGGGACATGGTGATACCAAGAGAGTTGAAGCTCCCAAACTCATTGAGGGTCTCAGCCACGAAGTGATCGTGTCCGCAGCATGTGGGCGGAACCACACCCTGGCCTTGACGGGTAAGGGACCACAATTTTCTTAGGAACTTGGCAAGAGGCCACACCCTGGGCAGTGGGGTGGAGTGATCCTGGGACTGTTGGTGACGATCAGAAAGGTGCCCCTGAGAGCTCAGTGGGTAATGGCCTGAGGGTGTTGAGAGCCTGGCCCCTGGGCATGGGAAGCCCAGCTGGCAGCGGAGGCCAGGCCAGGCCCCGGGTTCCTCTGCGAGCTTCTCTGTGCCCCACCACCTTTTAGAGTGCTTTGTTACATGCGTTCTTGGCAGAGCTGTTTTTATTGTTTCGGAGGCTTTGATTCCAAATCTGGTTCAAAACCCTCAGTATTATTTTCCCATCTATGGTAATGTTTTTCTAGAAACGGGCTCTGTGTTTGCATTTGGCGAGAACAAGATGGGGCAGCTGGGCCTTGGTAACCAGACGGACGCCGTCCCGAGCCCCGCGCAGGTACTGCTTCCACTGACGGGTGGGCCCTTAGGGTTTTCTTGGTTTTTGTGTTTGATTTTCTGGGATGAGACGGTAGTTCTCCCACTTGTTTGAGTTAATCTCTCTCCAACATGGGGGCTAAATGATTTGAGTGAAATTCACGTTACAGTCTTTAAAACAGGCTTAATTAATGTATGTTCACAGTTGAAAAACATCCTGAAAACACTTTCTGAATGAAGTAATTTACTTCAGAGTCCTTGTTTTTAAAAAGCCTGTTCTGTTCCAGAGAAAGTGAGAAATGTTGTATGGGTGTGGCTTTATCTGCAAATACTTTTGAGTTTGGGTCTTGTGTGAAGTCACTTGCCAGATGCTCAGAATGCAAATAGGAAGGAGTTAGGTAGTTTCTTACTTCTGAGAAGCGAATGGTTAAGTTAGAGAGGTAGGATTTATACCTAAAAAGTGAACTAGTGATATAGGCAGCAGAATGCTAGGGAATCTGGTTAGCAGCTTAGTGAGGAAGAGGGGGACTCTGATTTCTTGGTCTTAGAAGAGACAGTGGCCAAGCTCGTCTGTGGTTTGAAGGATTTTCGAAGTGTCCATTCTGTATGCTGAGGGCTGTGCCCTGGAATGGCACAGTCCCCAAAATAAGCAAAATTGCTGTACAGGGCCTGGATTCACACACCCGAAACCCAGTTGGGAGCATGGACCTCCCTTCCGAAATGTGCGTCATGAGCAGTAGCAAGTACCAAGTACTGTCATTGTTCCCAAAGCCCACGTTGAGTTTACTTACTCGTGACCGTAGTGAGATTTGGGAGCTAAGTGTTGGTTGCTTTCTGCTTAACTCACCCCCACACCCATGTGGTTGAATTCAGCATTCGCTGAGCCCCAGGAAGCATAAGGTGCAGTGCTGGGCATTTCAAGGGATGCAAAGAACAGCGACAGCATTTACCCATCTGGGAATTTGACGCTGTACCAGGATGGTGGGGGCACGAGGGTGTTTTACGTTCTAAGCGTTCGCCTTCAGGATTGTTGAGTTCATTACATTTCTTTTGTAACTAATTGTTGTACATCAACCTGCAGAGAGGTAGAGACACTTTATCAATCTTCTAAAAAACAGTCTGAAAGTCTACTGTCTTGTCTTTTCAGATAATGTACAACGGCCAGCCAATTACCAAAATGGCCTGTGGGGCTGAATTCAGTATGATAATGGACTGCAAAGGAAACCTCTATTCCTTTGGGTGCCCTGAATATGGTCAGCTGGGTATGGAATTATATTTTTTAAAAGCTCTGTAGTCTAACTGTATATTTGGAACCAGAAGTAAGTGTGAAACTGCACACACGTGTTAGAAATGTGGGTAACTGATGGCAGATAATAGTCTTGCTCCATTAAGTGGGTCTCCTGTTTAGTGGAACCACATGTCATCACTCACAGGCTCCTGGACTTCACATGATGCCGGCTTAATGCAAAAGGCAGGGCTTGAGTCAGACAAGATCCCTTTTTCTGATTTGGGAATTCACTTACATATTGAAAGGATTTCAGAGCTGTAAGAAGGAAAAAAAAAAAATCAAACCACCTTTATTCAGTTCCTTTGTTGAAAGTGAGAAAATGACACAAGGTGAGTGAAGGGTTTGAAGCCCTGGCCCAGGCGAGCAGGCGTGCACACGGGGAGCCGCGACGCGCACAGGGGGCTGGGATCCCTAAACTGTGCTCATCCAAAAGCACATTGACTTACGTATCATTGAGTAGAAAAGAAAACCTCAGAAAGCACTTCTTATCAGTTCTGAGGCAGGAGAAAATGTCTCTCTGTCCTGATTTTACAAGGTCTCCATTTTCTTTTCCCACCTGACACCAAAGTGTTGTTTTGTGCCTTCCGGCTGCCTGGTCCCCTCGGAGTAGGAGGTGAGGCGTGGGCGCCCTCTTCTGGCTGCTTAGCCGCACACCACTCGGATCTGTGGCTCCCCCAGATCTGGGTTGCTGGGTCTCCACGTCACTAAAGCCGGCAGATGGAAGACTGTATAAATAGAAAGAGAAGCATCTCCCTGGACTTAGACTTTAGGGAACAGTGACTTTGTGAAACTAAATATACCTCAAGTCAGAAGTGAATAAGAACAGCTCCTTACGCACATTCATTGTTGGTTGCCAGGGAGTTGCCAGACTGCCGGAGGAGCCGTTTCCATGGCCACAGGCTCTGGTGCCATACCCAGCCCTGGGCAGAACCCCGGAAGTGTGTCTCTGGCCCACGCCCAGCAACGGGCGACTGCCCTGCCTGCCTGTGGCGCCCAGGACGTGCGCACAAGCCACTTATCGTGGCAGGCCGCCTTTCCTTGAGGGATAAATCCGTGATCCCAGCACACACTGAGCAGTACTGTGTACCAGCCACCGTTTTGAGTTCTTCACGCAGAGTCTCGTTGGCTTTGTTCTACTCATTTAAAGGTGGCTTGAGAAATTGGCTTGGTTGATATTTATGGAATCACTTACTAACTTCCCAGCTTACTTTGAAAACTTTTCAATCTGATTGTCCAAGTCCAGAGGGATCCGTTTTGGAATCAGAACATAGGTGTGACCTTGGCGAAGCGTATCGCCAGCTCGCGTGCCCGCCCCCACTCTTCACCACACAGTTACTGGGTCAGGCAAGGCAGAGGCGAGAATGAGCCCTTTAATTCTAACATACAGGTTACTGGTAATTTATAAAGCAGCATGTCTGGTACTGTGTGCGATCTTTTCTGTCCAATCTTGGCCTATCTAGGGCCTCCTAGGAGGCCCTCAGGTTGGGCACAAACCATACTCTATAAACCATTTAGATCAGTAATGTCCGACTTTTTTAACCGTAGCCCACAGTAAGAAACGTGTTCTACATTGCGACCAAATCTGAATGTAAAAAAAAAGCAAAGAATTTTCACAAGATCCTTATAACAGTGTCCTTGGGTGTTTCATATTCTGTGTCAGCGTTTTTAAAAAATGATTTGTTTTAACCCACAAAATCGATTTCATGACCCACTAATTGGAAGGCTTCCTTGGTCAACGAAAGTGCCCTGGTGAGGCCCCACCTGGCCAGGTTGGGGCAGGTGCTCGGCTGTAGCCCACTGCTGACTGCTGACGGCTGGCTCTGTGGTCGCTGCAGGACACAACTCAGACGGGAAGTTCATCGCCAGGGCGCAGCGGATAGAGTATGACTGTGAGCTGGTGCCCCGGCGAGTGGCCATCTTCATCGAGAAGACAAAAGACGGGCAGATTTTGCCAGTCCCAAATGTGGTTGTACGAGATGTGGCCTGTGGCGCGAACCACACGGTAAGGCTTGAGTGGACGGCGTACGCACCAGTGTCCTGGCGCTTGGCTTTGCCTGGGACCTGACCCCAGGCAGCTGTGCCGTGCTGTTCTCCTCCGGCACTTCACACCATTTGGCCTTGGGCTTAGCTCTTCCGTGAACAGCTTTCTCTAACTTCTACAGGCCCACCTGAATGGACAGACATTCTGGGTTGGGATCACGTGGTCAGCATTTTTCTGGGTAGGCTTTTGTCTAATGACATGGACATCTTTCTAGGTCAATAGACGCTATTCCATACTCGGGGTGCTGAGTAGTTTTTAGTCATTAAGGTTGTTTCCTTAGAAGTCACTTTATTTAAGTGGCAATACAATCTTTGTTCATGTGCCTTTCCATATGAGTTGGTTCGTGCAGCCATTTTGTCTCCTGAGTCAAACTCCGTTGTCTTCTCTCGCAAGACCGCTGGCTGGGTGCCCGGGCATCCCGCCAGGGGCATGGCTCCTCCCCTGGAATCTTCCCTGTCTGGGGCGCAGTGACTTGGCCCTGGGAGATTTCAGTTCCTTCTAGTGTAAACCCTGTGGTTCTCTGCTGTATAGTGCAGTCAGGGGAAGTGAAGTTAGATCTTGTTTAGGCCTCTTACATCCAAATGTTTTCACAGGTTGTGCAATCACACGGTTCAGACATTAACATCAAGGACGCTGTGAAGAAAAGAAGATAGCTTTTAAATTGTTGAAATGTCGATGTGGCCAGATGGAGGTCACCTGTGACCATGGGTGGGGAAGTAAAGAAAAATCCAAGGCAGGCAGGCTGGCCCGTCTCCTCTCTTCCCTCGTTCTGCAGTTTAGTGAGTATTGTGTTAGGGAATTGAGCTCATCAGCCTGCTCTCTGGAGACAGAGCCCTCTTGCTTCTGATGAGGAGAAGGGAAAGACATGTGACTTGAAAAAAAATTAAGAATGGAAAAGTCCTTGGTAGAGGAAACAGGAAACGTCCTTGTGTAGCTGCACCTGCTCCTGTCACCTCTGCCAGTTGGAGGCAGGTGGGGGCTGACTCCAAGTGTTTCTGCCCCTTCACCATCAGGTTCTCTGGAACAGAAACACAACAGATGACCCCTGTTGTTGGTAGGCCCGTTCAAACCCCATGTTTTCTCTCCTTGCAGCTGGTCCTGGACTCCCAGAAGCGCGTGTTCTCCTGGGGCTTCGGTGGCTATGGCCGCCTGGGCCATGCCGAGCAGAAGGATGAGATGGTCCCCCGCCTCGTGAAGCTGTTTGACTTCCCTGGGCGCGGGGCTTCCCAGATCTATGCTGGGTACACCTGCTCCTTTGCCGTCAGTGAAGTGGGTTAGTGATTTCCTCCATCTGGGCCATGGGAGGGAGGTGGCCAGAATCAAGCATGGTTTTTCCTTCCTGGAACGTGAGTGCTCCAGTGGGGAGCCACGTAGCCCTTGTCCTCATCCCAAATGGGGAACCCCAATTTCATTGACTTCCCAGTGTTACTTGGTTAACAACTCTGCCTTGTCGTTTCCGGTGCCAAGTATCTTGTACAGAGGGTCCTGATCCCCTTGCCTTTCTCACTGATGTTGCAGAGTATGAGAATTAAGCTCTTGAGATTTCTGGTCACGTGGGAACATGTTTGTCTTTCTCCAGGTGGTCTGTTTTTCTGGGGGGCCACCAACACGTCCCGTGAATCGACCATGTACCCCAAGGCTGTGCAGGACCTCTGTGGTTGGAGAATCCGGAGCCTGGCTTGTGGGTAGGTGGCAGGGTCTCCTAGGGGAGTGGCACATCTGGTCGCCCTCCTGGGCGTGTTGGACACACTGGGGAAGTGCTGCATCCTTGAGAGTGTTTTGCTCACCCTGTCAGGGCACTGTGTGCACCGAATTCAAGGGCACGAGTGGGAGGACCAGAGAGGTTGGTGAGTCTTGTTTCACTGCCTTTGTGGGAAGAGCCCGAAGGTCTTTGTTCTTCAAAGGCCAAGTATGCTATGTTGCTTTTGTCGCCTCAGAATTAATCAGTGGTACGGAGAAGGCAGGTAGTGACTCTACAGCATCTTATGCTGATGGACAGTGACTGCAGTGGGGTAGGGGGGACTTGATAATATGGGTGAATGTAGTCATCACAGTGTTGCTCATGTGAAGCCTTCATTAAGATTGTATATCAGTGATACCTTAATTTAAAAAAATCATACTGAGGGTGATTGCTGGTTAATGATCCCATTGCTCTTGCATTGGGCTGGCTTAACGTTTATGAACAGCACTGTTTAGAAGGCAGTATACTCCTTTTTCAGTGAGGTACTAACTTTGAAATCATGTGGCTAACTCATCAAAGCTGCAATCTTCAATGAAAAGTCAGCTTTATATTAAAAATATATACTTTAAAATGTATAACCACAAAAAAAGGTTACGTGGTGGGATTTCAGTTACTCTGACACTGTGAAGAAACTACCCAAATCAGTGGTTTTCATTTTAATTTTGAGGACAGTTTGTTGAGCTGTCCAGTAAGTTGAAGAGTTTGATTGTGTTAATGGGCTGCCGGGCTAGGGGGCAGGGTGCCCTGCCAGGTTACTGTCCCTTCCACCCCCTGTGGGCTGATTTTTCACATCCTGATTGGGACTCACCTTTTCCTGCTATGTGTGTTCACCATTAAAAGGACGCTTCTTCCCGTCCCCCTAGAGTCCCAGAACCTGGGCTGGGGTGAGGCGGGAAGGTCCAGGGCCCTGTGGTGCCTGACACTAAGGGCTTGCCATTGGGGCCCACGTGGGATGGTGGTTAGGGTTCATCAGAAGTGGTTGCCTGCCCTGTCACTTGGACATGAGTGGGTCATGGACATTTAATGGGATGTACTTGACTTCTATGCTAGACGGTCTCACCGTGCTCTTGAGCATGTAGCCTACAGAAGTGTTGGTGGGGGCACGGGCGGGGCTGCTGGGCGCCATGGTGACAGCCTCTGTCTTTCCGTAGGAAGAGTAGCATCATCGTGGCTGCGGACGAGAGCACGATCAGCTGGGGCCCATCACCGACCTTCGGGGAGCTGGTAAGCTGGGGCTGTGTGCTGAGCGGCCGTACCCCACCCAGGCTCTCTGAGACTGCCTCCTAAAGTTACACAGAAGCAAGTGGGCCTTTTACTTCCTGCCCAGTTGTATTAAGGTCTGCAGTGTTCCCTAATCTTTGGGCTACATCCACTTTTTCAGGGATGATTCCATGCCCATCGAATAATTATAAAAGTCCTTTCTGTCCACATTGTAAATACGGAATCGGGTGGTTTCCGATCCCTTTTTTGGTGAACTGTACTTGTGGTGTGACGGTGACAGGCATGCAATGATGTGTCTGCCTCTCCCGTCTAGAGGGCTTACATCAGGAGCACATGTCTTCCGGTTTTCCCCAGAGCCTCAAAGCATGTTTTTTTTTTGTTTGTTTTTTTTTTGTTTTTAGCCCAGGGGGCAGCGTGTGTGCCTCAGGGCAGCATGCCTCCAGGCCAGCTGCAGGTCGGCTGGGGACGTCTCCCCTCGTTTTCCCTGGATGGGTTGGTCTGTGTTCCGTGCTTCCTTGCTTCCTGGACTCTGAGGACCAGTGGCTCTCAGGCCCTTACACTGGCCGGGCCTTCCCCTGCCAGATCTGGCCCTTAGGTTTTGGTGCTCAGGGGGTCCTTCATGCCTCATTTCTGCCTCAGGAGCAGCTGGGCTGTGGGGTGCGTCCTGGCAGCACCCCACTTCTAGCTGGGACTCGATTCTCAGCGCAATTCCACTGTTAATATCCTCCCAGGAACGCCATTTCCCTTCCCCCAGCTTGTCGTCTTCGTGGGCAGAAGCTGATGGGGTTGCGGGGGGTGTGGAGGGAGGCCTTCTTGGGCCCTTGAACCTCCTCCAGGACTGGAGGGGAGGCGTGCCTTTTCTCGGGGATCTGCACACACCTTCAGTCTGGGGCTTCAGAGGGGCTTCCCCATCAGCAGACAGTCCAGGTGGCCCCCTCAGAGGGGCTCATGGGGAACCTTGAAAGAGACTGAGGACCTGGCTCAGCTTTTCTGGATGTTCTTGCAGGACAGATACATGTGTTCTAAGTCCTACCAGAAATGGACTGAATACCAATTTTGAAACCAGTGGGAGTGAGGGGGACTTGCTGGGTAGCCTCCCAGGTGAGGAGACGGTTTGCATCTTGGAGGAACTGCTCACTTTAAGGGAAGGTGTCACTGTGGGAAGTGTGGGGCCTGTGGGCTAATGTAGGTGGGAAGGGAAGCCCCCACTGCTGTGTAGCCTCCTGTTGGAGCTGAGGGCTCTGCTGCCCTTGAAATCGCCCATCTCCGTGCTCCTGCATGTGGTCCCAAGCGGACCCCAGTTGGTCCCATCTGTCTCTGGTGCCCTGGCTTATCAGCAGATGGTGGTGGTTGAGCCTGGAGATGGCCCAAGGGACTGAGCAGGCCTTCCCTGCCCCACCACCCTGTCAGCTCCTGCCCACGAGAGGACTCTTGTATTAACTCCCTGAAGTTCCGTTTTGTAAGTAATTCAACGTCAACCATCTTTTCTGGGTGCTTTCCAAAGTGTTTTTTTTCCTCTTAATGTTTAGTAAGAATATTTGCTCATAGTTGAGTTAATCACTCCTACAAAAGAGGATTTTTTTTCTAAAAAAAAAAACTTTGAGCAATCTTGGCTCTTTTTCCCCAAATTTTGCTGTTTCCTCCTAAATTCCCAGGAGATGGTGGTATATGCCAGCCCATAGGGTGGGTACGTAGACAGCAGCGTTCCTGTGCCCTTATGGTCTGGAGGGCTGCAGCTGCCATTTTCTTCTGCACTCAGGTTGGGGCTGTCCCCCCAGTAACACTGCCCAAAAGGCATCCGTTAGGCGTGAATCCCTTGGGCTACCGGTCAGTGCCACAGGCTTTCTTGAGACAAGAATGGATCACCTGTTGGCAGCACCTTCATGGATAAATGTCACCCACTGGCCTGGCCCCAGTTAGTGGGATGCCAGAGACATGGCCGCGTTTGGGATGTGTCGCAGCAGTGCCCAGTTCGGTGTGTGCTCTTTGCCTCACTAGGGCTACGGGGATCACAAGCCAAAGTCTTCCACTGCAGCTCAAGAGGTGAAGACGCTGGACGGTGTCTTCACAGAGCAGGTGAGTGAGCAGGGAAAGCCTTGACAGCAGAATGACGTCATGCCAGATCCCAGCTCACCTTGCCGCGTCTGGTGTTTGCAACCCCTTCGGAGTCTTGTCTGACATCTTGGGCAGCGTTGCTGCTGCCTGGGGCTGGGGTGTTCTGATGGGTGTGAGTCATGAGCGGGAGCAAGTGCAGGGGCTTGCTGGCCAGGTTCAGCCATTCTCAGCTGCAATAAAGGGCCACAGTCCAGCCCCACAGTGGATTTTCTCTGGCGCAGGTGCACAGTTCACGTTTGCTCTGTACCATCACCCAAACTCCGCATCATTAAACTGTGGGGCAGATGGTGGGGTGAAGCTCCTGCTATCATGCCCGTCAGGCTGCCAGCTCTTGACTGCCAAGACAGACGGGGCATGTACCCTTACTCAAAGCAAGATTGTGGTCCAGAGTGGTGGAGGGAATGGGAGCAGGATTCCTGTGTTCCTGCCACACTCCACTGACAGTGTTGAAGCTGTGCTTGGGGGGCGGCCTTCTGTGGGGCCCTCCCATGGCACCGGGAGGGCTGTGGTTGGCAGGGCATTAGTGACCGGGCACATTGACACTAGTGGTCTTTAGTGAACGGCTTTTACGCACTCATCAGGGGTTCTCTGTTTTCCCTCCATACCACCCTTGTTTGCCAGCCCAGCTAACTAGTGTCCTGCTGTCCGCCTCGTTCTCATCAGCTCCAAAGTCGGTTTGTACCAGTGGGCCCAGGCACCCTTGCGCACACCCAATGCTGATTTGTTCCTCCAGGTTGCCATGGGCTACTCGCACTCCTTGGTGATAGCGAGAGATGAGAGTGAGACCGAGAAAGAGAAGATCAAGAAACTGCCAGAGTATAACCCCCGCACCCTCTGACCCCGGGGTCGTCTTCAGCTCCACAGCTCACGCGGCAGCTGTCTTTTCCATGTGCACTGGGACGGGAAGTCAAACGAGGAATTTAAAAAAAGCAAGAGTTGACCGAAGGTGCATTTTTGTTAAGACTCCCTGAGGTTCCGTTTTATAAGTGATTCAACGTCAACTACCTTTTCTGTATGCTTTCCAAAGTGGTTTTTTCTCTTAATGTTTAATTAAAATATTTGCTCATAGTTAATTTACCATTCCTACAAAAGAGACAGAAACTTTGAGCAATCTAGGGTTTTTTTTAAGTTGTTATTATTCCCCACCCCCCTAAATACACTTATCAAAACATCCCTTTCCACTTGTAATTAGCATTGTGATCCGAATGGGTGCTACCTGGGAGAGGAATCACTGTTTACTCAGAAAAAAAGAAAGTCCCATTACTTAATGGGAACTGGCAGCATTTGGGCAGAGATAGTCCCTGGTGGCAGATGTCCGTCCGGAATCACACCCTCATGCTTCGGGAGCCTCTAGGTCACCTTCCTGCTTTTTCCTTCTGACCAGCTGAGGCTTGCATTTGTTCTTTTTCCCCTTGGCTGCTTGTAAGCCCCGCTGCCCTTTGGCTGTGACATTAATAGAATCTGTCATTTCCCCCCCTGGTGGGGTCTCTGGGGTCTGTGTTTAGCCATTTATATCTACTTTAGCTGTAAAAGTCCAAATGAAAATCAGGTGATCGTGGAACCGGTGGGGACTTGGGGGTAGGCAGACGTGGGGACGATGTATCTCCAGCCCAAAGGCTCCTTGCCAGCACTCGCCCTAGAGATCGATCAGCCAGCAGCAGAAGGTGCATTCTGGAGGCCTTGCCAAGAAGGGCCGGCCCTGTGTGTGTCAGCCTTAGCGCCACTGCTTCTGTCTGTTCTTCCCATCGGCTGGATCCTGCTGGGCCAGGCCCAGTCTGTTTTGGAGACTCGGGTTCCTGTTCCGTTCACCCAGCTGTCTGGTGGCGTTTGCTTGGCTGTGGTACCAAATAGCTGGGATTACAAAGAAGTTGCCCTTCTCCACATGTCAGCACAGATGCTGTGACTGCCACTGCCACCCCAACTCCCCGCCAAGTGCCCTCTGCCTGAGCTGGTCACCTGCGCGGGGCTGCACCGCTCCACATGCGTTACGAGGTGCCTTTCCTGGAACCCTCCTCTCGCTTGGACCCAAGAGATGCAACAGCTCTGGCTGGGGCTCTTGGTTTCGAGAGGGTCTGGACTGGTTTGGGTGCTTTAAAATAGATTTCTTAGTTCAGTGGTGCTTACGGGGGAGAAGGGGGATAGACCCTCAGTGTGAGGTGGGGTGGATGGGAAAGTGAAGCATTGGTCTTTTTATTTTTGCTTTGCTGTTTGTTACCGCTTGTCATTGTCTTGATGTTAAAATGCCAAAAATGATCTAGTCATTGTTGCTTTTTTCCCTAGTCATCCCCCTGCCGCTCCTTACAGTGGCTTCTGCCTTCGTTGGGCCTGCAGCAGTATCTGTCCCCACCAGTCCCAAGGCGCACTGCCTGCAGAGATGGGCCTGCATCTTTAAGATTTAGTCTGGTTTCATGCTTGTATCTACTGTCCTATGTTGGGTCCGTGGTCCAGGGGAGAAGCTTCTGCAGTTGCAGAGCTTCCCAATTTGTCCAAATCACCCCACAACCACCAGCTCTGCTCAAGCTTCCGTGTGTGGAGTCATCTGTTTCCCTGGACAAGTCTCTCCTGGTGTGGGGCTTGGGCCTGTGCTGCTTGGGCCCATGCAGCCCCCTGTGTCTCAGGTGGTCCCACAGGCTGCGCCCCCACCTTGGCAGAGCTGCCCTCGGCAAAGCAGGGCTCGGCTTCCATCTCCTCCTGGACTAAGCCGATGCCCCCCGCCAGCCCCTGCTAGAAGCCCTTGCCAGGGCCTGGAGCGGGAGGGATGTACCTTCAAGGGAGGATGCCCTGGCCTCTGCCAGACACTCCTTTTGGCCTAGAATTAAAAAATGAACTTCCTAATGGGGGAGTGCCTCAGAACAAGGAGTTGGGGGGTGGTCCTACACTCAGAGCGATGAAGCAGCCCGGACTGGGCGTGGGTGTGCTCTAGGCCGACCCTTTGGGCGTGTGGTGTCTTGCAGCTCAGGAAGGGGAGTTTGGAAGAAGAGGCTTAGAGTAAAGGGAGATGTAAGAAGAGGTGGTGATTTGGTCGAAGGTGCCTGGTTTAGTGCTGTAATTGTCTTGTTTTTTATATATATATATATATATTTCTTGGAGTAAACATTTTAAATAAACGACATCATTGTTTACTCTGTTTTGGCTTTTGCACTTCTTTTTCAGTAGAATGAACATAAGAACAACTCTGTATCAACTCCCTGCAGGCCCCCCAACCCCCTGCCTGCTGCCCAAGCTGGAGCTCCCACAAAGGGGTTGTTGGAGTGAGGTAGGCCCCAAGCTGCAGGGCGTTTAAAGTTCTGGGCTAAAACCTAGAGTTCGAGGTGAGCAGAGCTCTTAGTGTGGGGCCCCTTGGGGAGGCATCAGTGCCTGGCTTGCCCAACTCAAAAGTGGAGTATTTTGGGGGGTCTTTGAGGAAGAGGTGACATCAGGCATGGAAAGAACAGTGGTGCATCTGTGTGCCCAGCAACAAGTAGTCTCGTCTTGTTCCCCACTCGCCGGGTCCAGCTCTTGAGAAGGGAAGAGCTACTGCTGCTCATGAGTGTTGAACGGGCCAGGGTCTGCCCCTTACTGGCAGTGTGGCGAGGTGCCCACCAGGGGGCGTCACGAAGCCAGTTGTGTGTTCAGACGACAGGATGTTTTCTGTTTTCTCCTGGGCTGACAGCTGCTGCTCTGGGCCGACGTGGCTAAGCTCTAGACTGCACAGGGCATCAGCCCTAACCTGAGCTGTCAGCATTCCAACATCCACCATTTGTGGAGACTCTGGGATACTGGCTCCTGTTTTATCAGACCATCCCCTCCTGGTAGGCACTGCTGCTGCCCCGGCTTCGAAGGCTTGGAGCGCCCCACCCGTGGGAGGAGGGCACTGGGTGGGGACAGCAGCGCTGGTTAACTCATTTTCTTGAGTAGGATCATTGTATGGCTGTTACCATGAACAGGCAGACAGATGGAAACAAGCAGCTTGGGTCCTGGAGCAGGCGTTTCTCCTGGACACTTAAGGCCTAGTGAGAGTCCCCTGAGGCCTGCCCCTGCTGCCCCTCAGAGAGGCTCTACCTGGGAGACCAGAATGCCACCTGTACCCTCTCCCTTCCCCCAGCCTGGAGTCTCACCTAGTCAAGCATCTAGGGCTACCTTCTCTCAGCTGCCCAAACTAGAGGATTCACATAGTCCAAATTCAACCACTAGCTGCTATAGACAAAAGATAACGAGGGAGGGACAGTGATTCAGCAGCCTAGTCCCTGCTGTTACCCCTACCCCTCAGCCAAGGGGGACAGTCTGACCACAGGTGTCCCAGCGCCCCACTTTCCATCCTTAGCTGTTGCTGACTTCCCCCCAAACGAGGCTGTGGCCAAAATGCATTCAGAGCAGCTAGAGCTTTAATGGGTATCCAGTAACGACTACTCAGCTGAAGACATTCCGTCTTTTCCTGTGGGGTTCAAGCTGGCAGCATCCATCACTCCATCGGCTCCTGAGGGGCAGGTGAACAGGGTAAGGAAGGTGTAGTGCCTTGACTTTCTAGCCCCAGATGGGACCAGGAACTGGAACACTGTTGAGTGGTGACAACAGGCCATTCGTGCTGTGGTGGGGCTGGCAACGCTAGGCCTGGGGCTAAGGCACCATTCTCCACCATTTGAAGGCAAAGGGGACCCAGCGGATGTTGGCACACGCACAGAAGGCTCCAATCTTGGTCAGGTAGCAGTCAAAAGTCATTAATGAAAGTGCACTTGAAGCCCAGGGGCTCCAGCAACTGGCAAATGTTTTCTTCCAAGCAGCACATGCTCTCAATCGGGGCCCAAAAGGCTTGGGGATGCCTAGGTTCTTGCCCATATCCACCATCTGCAGCTCTCGAGGTTGGGCAAGACCTACATGGGACAGAGCCATGGGAGAGAGCCCCCGACTCTCCTGCGAGTGAGGAATGCCACTGTGTTCAGTGCAAGGGAAACCCAGCTACCTCTGTGGATGGGCTGGAGCAGGGAGAGCAAGCCCAAGCCCCCAGCACTGTTCCGCATGTCTGCTCATGCAGACACCACTAGTCAACCTCAGAGCAAAATCCAGCACTTCTGCCTAACCCTCCAGTGGCCCCTGGTATAGTTCTCACTTGGCTGACTCACCTGGTGCATTTCTCTTATCTGGCTTTTTAGTCTGGTTTGTGCGTTGGGTCTTGCCTACCTTTCCAGGAAGGTGCACCTACCCCCAGCATTGCTTGCTGACTTCTATCCATTTGTCCCATAGCAAAGGCATACCTCCCTCAGAGGGGCTTCTCCCACTGCTACCCAAGCGTACTCCTAGGGCCTGTGACTGGTCCAGTCTTCATGCCCAGAGGGCCACACTGGTCTTAAATGATAACTCAGGTGTGATTGGTGAGCAGGCCCTGTGTCCCTGGGACTCAGAGAAGTGTTCAAGGAGTTGATGAGCTTAAGGGCTGAGAGTCCATTCTAAGTGTCTACACGAAGGGTCACGGCTGTGTCAGGAGAGTCAGACTGGCCATCACTGGAATAGGCTTGGTACGGACAGGGTCTCCTGCTATACATACATTGTACACACAATTTCACATCTGTTCTAAGACTATTCGTAAAGCGTATGAGCACTCATGTTCCAGATGCTGCTGCCTGGGACATGGGACACATAGACAGGAAGACCGTGTGTTGGCTTGCCCATGGTCTCAGCCAGCACATGGCTCAGCCCCTCACCCCCCAACTGGTGGAAGCAGTGTCCCTGTCTGTGAGGTGGGCCCTGTAGCATCCACCCCTTCAGGCTGGGGATTAGCCCAGGGCCTGGCCCGTCACTGCTTGGCAGGTGGCTTGGCAGGTCACCCAGCCTGGGTCTCGCTTGCTGTCCAAGGGAGAAAAGGGCTTACACCTCATTTCCTCTTGGGCACCATTGTCTGCTGTGTCCCCACCTCTAGTCCAGCACCATGTACATCAAGAACCTAGCCAGAGTTGACCGCATAGACCCCCCACCCGACCCTGGGATGCCCAGCCTGCCCTGCAGTGTCCCTCACCAGGGCAGGGAAGTGGGGCCTCACAAAGAGTTTCCTGGTCTGCTGGCTGGAGGGGTCATTAGTTCTGCTCCGCAGAACAGCTGTGGGATGTTGATGACGTCCCTCTCCGCCAGGCCTGGCCCAGCTCCCTCTCGAGGATGTCACGGCTCAGGTGGATACACTCTGCAGGGCCAGGAGGAGCCGAGAGGGGAGTCAGTTTTGGGGAATTGAGGAGCCTGGGGTGATGGCCTGAAGTGGCTACCATCTTTCATCACAGACTGTGCTATGAGCCTCCTGTGGAAAGCCAACCCTATTACCATGCATGCGGCTCCCTGTTTCTGAGGAAGTGGGGGTGCAGAGAAAAGACTTGGAGAGGCCAGGACCCCACAGCTCGCTAGCACTGGGGCAGCAATAGTCCTGTAGCTTGTGGCCCCTTTGGACCCTCAATCCTGGCCAGATGGGGGACCTGGGCAAGGGAAGAGAGCTGGGTCAGGCCAGGAATAAATTCTCAGACCTAAGCACTCTGTAGCCTTCCTTAGGAAGGGTCCTGAGCAGTGGCCCCCATCAGAGCATCTCCCAGGTCCTGACCACCACACTTGGGATATGTGCCGCCAGGGCTCAAGAGGTGCTGTTTTGACCTCATACTGGCTGGCACCCACCCTACCGCCGTATGAGGAAACCTTCCCTGTTTTAGCAGAGGTCCAGGGCATCAGGGTACCAGGGCATAGGATGGCCTCTAGCTAGGAGCCACAGAGACCCAGCAGTTCTATGCTGACCCTGTGTGTGACCTTGGGCAAGTCATTGCTCTGTTCCAGCCTTGACTTCCTTGCCCAAAATTGGTTGTTCTCTTCTGGGAACTCTGCTTCTCACACAGCCAGTCATTCACATTTTAAGATACCTGAGCTGCTGGGTGATTCTGAATATTGAACTGATGGGCCACTCGGTCCAAGAAGCACTGAGAAAGTTCTGGTCTGTCTGGTTAGAAAAAGGCCACTTGGACATGTGCCAAAACTAGGGTACTCAGAACTTCCTAGAGAAGCTGGGTATGGGGTGGGGGGGCTCTGCCAGGATTCCGAGTTGTTTCCTGGTCAGATGCTAGACCACAGGAGTGGCATGGTGAGTATGATTCTGGGGCTCACACTTGGATTCAAACCCAGTTGCCCAGATCATCGGTTTGGGCTCATGACTTTGTTCTCAGCCTCACTATCCTCACAGAAGAACGGTTTTGCTTCATAGGTTTATTTGGGGGATTACAGTAAGGAATCTTGCCTGATGCTCAGTTGGGAACTTGTCTCGGTTGTCAGCACTTCCCCCCACATTTTGGAGGACGTCCCCCACGTCCTGGGCCCCTTCCTCCACGTAGTTGTTCTGCTTTCTCATGTTCTCACCAGCCAGCAGGTGACTGATGGTATGGGCCTCTCTCGCTGGAGGAAGGGGAGAGGGCGGGCCGATCTGCAGACCAGGGGGCAGGCAACTTGTCCAGGGCTGGGCAGACTCCAGCCCTGGGCACAGCTGCCTGGGGTATTCTTGGACCAGTGACTACGGAAGGTAGTCCGCAGGGACTCCTAGGTCAAACGTCACATCTAGAGACTGACCAGGATCCACGAAAGGCCAGGGAGGACTTCACTGCCTCTCTGACCTGATAGGAGGGGAGTAGCCTATGATAGGCTGTGAGGGAGGCAGCCTAGAACAGGCCAGCCGGTGACTTTAGCCCCGACTCAGCTGTCACTTGGGCACGTCCATGCATTATCTGACCTGTGCACCTGGCTGCCTTCAGCCTGTGACCTGGACCAGGTCATTTGGCTTTATTCCCAGTTGCCTCTTTAGGTCAGGGATGCCCGACTCAGTCAGATGAGGGAACAGCCTTGGGCTTGTGGTATGTAACCTGTGGTTCATGCTCAGTAAATGCCACTTCTGCAGGTGCTTCTAGGACCAAGAGATTCCCGAGCCCCACCCCAAAGACTGACTTGGGAGGCCTAGTGTGGGGCCGAAATTCCGCATGTCTGACAGGCTCCCACTTCCCGACAGCCCCTCCCTTCCTGGGTCCCACGGCATTTAGAACAGAGATGCTATGGCCCCAGCTACACATAATGTCTGCTTGTGCACTTCTGTTTCCCCTAACAGTGACCAGGAGACCCCTGAAGGCCCAGTGCCCAGGTACTTAACCGACGTCCCCTGAACAGAACCCACCAGTGCTGGTAGCCGCTGGTTTTGCTGCCCGCCATGGAGCCAAGCACATGCTAACGACGTCCCTCCCCGACACTGTCACAGCCCCTCCACCCGACAGCTTGCGGCTGGTCTGCTTCTGCTGCCCGAGTACCGCCAGAACAGCCCTGAAATAGAACACGGTGTTCTAATGTCGTCTGATATGCTTTTACACTTCCCCAGGACCCCTTCCACCCAGAGAAGTACGAATGACTCGCTAGAGGGACATCTGGGAAAGGGGGCGTCCGGCCTCTGCCCCGTTGCGAGGGGTTTCCCTTACCGTTCAAAAGGAGCTGATCCACTCAAACCTTTTCAAACAGAGGCATGTCTCCATAGCCCTCCTGTTTCTCCTGGCGTCTGTAGCAGGAGCTGGGGCCGGCCAGGAGCAGCCGGAAGCCCTGGGAGACAGAGCTGGGGAGATGCTAGCTTCCCCTCCAGAAGCTGTCAAGGTGGGGGACACCCTCTCCAGCCCCCAACAGACCTTTTCCCCCTCAATCTTGTCCTGCGTGGGGATGAAGGACAGGAACTCATCCATGTGGCCAGTCATCAGCCAGTCTGAGAACAGTTCCACCGTGGCCTGGAGTTGTGGGGTGTAAAGGAAGTCCCGCAGGGCCTTAGCCATGTCCCAGCCCTCCTCGCTGAAGGGAAGATGGAAAGAGCAGCCTTGAGCCAGCGTGGCCCACGTTAGCTGCCAACTACTTAGTGACCATCAGGCCACTTCAGGTAACCGGCTGCTGTGACCACTGGGCTCAGTGGCTTGTCCATAAGGCACTGGGTGGTCATTAGGAATCCCTTATTCTGGCCCAATTGAGGACTGAGCCAAGGGATTCTAGGTAGAGACTGAACTCTGGGACACAAGTATTTCCTGGCTTTTGATGAATGGCCACCAAGAGGTCCAGCCACACATCTTACAGAAACAACATCCCGCTGGGTCAACAGGCCAGCTGAATTTAGCATGCTCCAATTTAAACCCTGGAATCGCCACCCGGAGATGCATCAGGCATTCCTACGTGCATCAGACTCATATCCTTACTCGTAGTGTAAGGAGTGGTCCAGGGACAGACAGCCCCCCGAGTCATCTTGGAGTCGGGTAGAACCAAGCAAACTACCTGGGGTTCCTTCCTGTAGTTTTAAGACGTCTGGCCACCACCTGGCCTCTTGCCTCACCCGGGGTAAAAGCTGCTGCCAGTGAGGATCCTGTCTAGGGGGTATTCTTTGCCTCCCACCTGGACAGGTGGGGACACCATCAGGTTCCCAGTGGAATCCATACTGGCCAGCCGGTGGTCCTTGGTGCAGTGGATCACAGAGCCAACCCCAGGGCTCTGGAAGGAGACCCAGCCGGGGCAGGGGTGCTGGGAGGGATGGATTCCAAGCTCCAGTGACACCTGATCCAGACTCTCACGTGGCCTCCTGCACCCCCTTTCCCCAGGGGCCACCTGGGCCCCCTCCCTTGATGCCCCCATCACTTCTGGGCAGGCACCAGGCCTGAGAGCTTGGACCAAACCCAGATTAGCCAAACTGAGCCCCACACCAGTGAGTATTTCACGGGGAAATCTTCGAGCTTGAGGATCCACGGGGTGTCGAGAACCATAGAAAGCGTCTCGTGGGGAGCCTGCGTGTAGCAGAAGGCCATCCCATCCTGGGAGAGACGGGAGAACAAGTTGTGAAGGCGTCTCACTCCATCTGCTCTCCTGCCCATGTCCAGCCCACTGGCCACCATGCTCCCTGCACATGGGCCACCCTTAGATGGGGGACACAATAAAAGCCCCTTTTTCGTGCTAACTCCTGCTCAGCCCTTGAAACTCAGCTCAGGCGTCACCCCTTCTCAGGGCTCTCCCTGACCTGTTGTATTTGTCAAGGTTCAGACTTGAGTTCCCTAGATTCTTCTTCTCTCACTTTCTGGACCCAGTCCGTGAACAAGCCTTGTTGGCTTTATTTCCAAAATGCATTCCTTGTAGACTCATCTCTGGTGCCATTCAGGGGAAGCCGCCCAGATCTCTTCCCTGAATTATAGCAATGCCCTCATCAGTTTCTGTGCTATTCTCGCCCTTTCCTAAGACTGGTTCTCTATTTCTCAGCCAGGGTGGTTCTTTTAAAACATACATCAGAATGTTCAACTCTCCTGATTCGTACCTTTCGATGTCATCCCATCTTGCTTAGGACTTTTCCCTATTCCTTGCCGTGGCTTACGAGGTCCCCAGCACGAGATCTAGCTCTTATCTACCTCTCACCTTCATTTGCTCTGATCTGGCCACACCAGCCCTTCTGTTCCTCAGGTCCTCCAAGTATATGTCCCCTCAGCGTGATCTTTATATCAGCTGTTCCTCTGTGAGAAAAGCTATTTCTAAACCGTCCTCCTACCCCCAATCTTGGCACGGCTAGCTCTTTGTTTCTTGAATGTGAGGATTTTCCTGGCCACACAAACTGCTGGCTTGGTCTAATACCTCACTGCATCATCTTGTTTTCATAGCACTTTGAGTTCTGTCTCTGGTTGCTAGAGCAGGGAAGGATTGGTCCCCTACTCTTACCTCTAGCACTTAGAACGGTGCCTGGCATATGGCAATCACTCAGCTCTTTGTGGAGATAGAACAGATCTCAGGTCTGTGGGCTCTAGACCTCCTGTCCTGCCAGGGTCAGGGGCCCCTGCAGTGGTGCCCTGGCTCTGCCAGCCTACAGCTGAGGGTGCCAGACCCTTCAGGTGCCTGGGTGTTCTTGAATACCCGTTCTGAAATGCAAGGAAGGTTGGACTCTGAGCTCTCTCCCTTGGCTATGACTTGGGCAAGTTGCTTTTAGGACTCCAGCAGAGGCTCAGATGAAACAGATGCTGATTGAGGCTTAGCTTTGCTGAAAGAAGTTGAGCCATGTGTGGCCCACATGCCCAGTCTCCCCTGGCCCTCCCCACAGGCCTGTTTCCCCAGGTGGGGTGTTACCTGAAGCCACCTGCCCAGGCGGCCGGGGTCCTCATAGACAGCTGTCACCTGGCTGTTACTCTCCTTGCTCAGCTCTGTCACCATGTTCACAAAACCCTGCACCTGCAGCTCTCTGCTGCGGGAGAGAAGCCAGCTCTGGGAAGGCCTTCAAGGCTCCTCCACTGATCACGACTCACTGTCTCAGGGGAAGGGGACACCAACTTCTCAGGAGAGATTATGCCTCTGCCCTCAAGGTAAGCAAAGCAGCCGTCCCCCCACCTCGTGGGTGCAAGTTGGTATCCCAGAGTGTGTTGCCCTGTGGCACTCGGCCTAGCTCAAGGCAGAGCCAGTGTCAGTCCCTGCTCTAGCTCCCTAGGACCCTGCCCTGTCCTGGTCCTGTAGTCCCATTCTACAGGAGCCTTCTACCTCCGCCCCAGGTGATTTCAGAACTGCCCCGCCTCTCTGCCTCAGTTTACCCAGAGGGTGGACTTCTTTCCTGGAGGGGCTGTATTTTTATCCCAAGAAGCTGGGTGCCCCCTTGAGATGGCCAGTGAGATTGTCATATTTCTGTGGGTAGTGGGGCTGGGCCTTGAACCCTGAGATCTTAGTGCCGTCATGCACGGTAGCAGGCTTGAGTGCCAGCAAGGTCCATCATTGGGAAGTGTCAAAGTGAGGATTCTAGTCCAGTTCCAGGTCTGCAACTTGCATTGCTACCCTAGCTACTATTCCAAAGAACTTTGTCAGGTTTACACAGACAAGGCCCCAGGGGGATGACCAGCCTGACAAAGTCTGAAACAGTCTGAGGATGTGTGCTGGGGGAAGGGCTTGTGGCTAAGCTGGGCCTGAATGCCTGCCCTGTGCAGAGTCCTAAAAGGTCTGGGGTTCAGCAGATGCTTCCTGTGACTGAACTTCAGCTTTTAGATATGAAAGATGAAGAAGGAAGAGCTGTGTCTGGGCATTTTATCAGCAAAATTCTTGGAACTCCTTCCTTTTACTTTCTCGTTCTGAAACCGGGCATGCCTCTGAGGGCCCTACTCCCTAGCAGCCCTCCCGGGGAAGAGCTGTTTTTCTGTTCTCTCCCACTGGGCCTGGAGGAGGGGGGACGTCCTCCTTGCCATGTGTGGCTACATTCGGGCCATCAAGTCCTCTTTGGAGCTTTGGCTTGACCAGGCCCTATTTTCTAGCTTACTTCAGCCTCTTATCCCAACCACCACTCCCTCCAAGATCCTGATCTGGGATCAGGGTCCATTACTCCGCCTCCTGCTGGCTGGTCCCTGGGCCTGCAGCTGGAGCTGACGGGGCCCCTGGCCCTTCACTGCTTTCCTGTTTCTTCCCCTTTCTCCTTGCCTGGCTGTGGGTCTATAATGCATCTTCGTAATATCCTCATCCCTTTCCCTTGGGCTTCTTTGCCTGGTGAAACCCCAACTCTGGTTAGACCCAGTTCTACACTTAGTCTTCCCTAGAACTCAAGTTACTGAAAATAGTTAGAGAAAAGCCCATTGTGACTGGTCTCTAACCAACCTAAACAGGTCCTTAGCACTGGGCAGCCCTCCTACGAACATCCCAGTGAGTCTGCTGTGCTGTGCCTCCTGGAACTCTGGGTGAGCTGCCTTTGCACCCTTGAGGCCAATCTGACTTGTGTACCCATCCTGCCAGCATGGTTCCTATACCCATCCTATCAGTGTGGTTCCTACAGCTGCCTCCTATCAGATTTTCCCTCCTCTCTCTCTGCTGGGTCAAGTGCATCAGCATTATTGCTTCCTGCCTTAAAAAAAGCCTTCCCTGGCCAACAGACACATGAAAAGATGCTCCACATCACTAATCATCAGGGAAATGCAAATCAAAACCACAACGAGCTGTTACCTCACAGAATTCAGAATGGCCACTATCCAAAAGACAAGAAATGGCAGGTGTTGGCAAGGATATGCAGAAATGGGAACCCTCCTTCACTGTTGGTGAGAATGTGAATTGGTGCAGCCACCGTGGAAAGCAGTATGGAGGTTCCTCAAAAAGTTAAAACTAGAAGTGGAATTGCTGGGTTGTAGGGTATTTCTAGGAATTTACCTAAAGAAAACAAAATCACTAATTTGAAAAGATACATGCATCCCTGTGTTTATTGTAGCTTACTTACAATAGACAAGATATGAAAGCAACCTAAGTATCCTTTGATAGCTGAATGGATAAAGAAGATGTGGTACACATATACAATAGTATATTACTTGGCCCTAAAAAAGAACAAAATCTTGCCATTTGTGACAATATGGATGGTGCTAAAGGGTATTATGTAAGTAATGTAAGTCAGAGAAAGACAAATACCATATGATTTCACTTGTAAGAAATAGACTCAAACATAGAGAACAAGCTGGTGGTTGCTATGGGGAAGGGGGGTGGGCAAAAGAGGTGAAGGGCATTAAGAAAGGTAGAAGCTTCCAGTTGTAAGTCATGGGGGTGTAAAGTACAGCATAGGGATACAGTCAATAGTATGTGATATCTTGATATGGTGACTTGGTAACCACACTTATCTGTGTTATTTTGTAATGTATGTAATTTTTGAATCACTTGTTGTACACCTGAAACCAATATTGTGTATCAACTATATTTCAATTTTAAAAAGATGGAATCCTAGAAAAAGTAGACTTCCCTCAACCTCATACCTCCTTCCAGCTTCTCCCATTCAGACCATTTCTTTGGGGTTTTGCAAAGTGCTCCCTTCCCACTCCCCCTCCAGAGCTCACTTCGCAGGCATCTGCCTGCCCTGCGTCTCCTCACTCCTCAGGTGAGCTCAGCTAGGCCAGTGGCTTTGCACACCCTCCGTGTGCCAACGGGCACCCAGACCTACCCCAAGCCTCCAAACTTTCCCTTGAGCTCAGATGCTTAGCAGCCCAACGGGGTTCTCCAGGTTCTACCCCACCTCAGCAATGGCAGCACCTGTCCCCTTGCTGCAGACCCCAAACGCAGGGACATGCTTGTGTCTTTGCACCCCACACATCAGCTAACCTGGTGGGGAGGTCCACCTTCAAAGCAGTCCTGGATCTAATCCTGTGCTCCCGCTTCCCTGGCCGAGCCACCGCTGTGTCTGGCCCACACCGTCACGATAGCTGAACTGGCTTCTGCCTTTTGGTTGCACCCCAGATTTTCCATATGGCTAGAGGGACAGAACACTTGACAGTGTCCTACTAGTTTTACCTGCCAGGGTCCTTTCTCCCCTTCTCCCTAAGTACATAGACACCTGGCGAGAGACCATCCCCACAGCTGGGCATGTCCTGTGCGTCTCGGTTTCTTACCTGCACAGGTAAACCTCTAGAGGCATCTTGGTGCTGGGTATAAAGATGCAGGGAGCCACCCAGAATACCACTGTGTCTTTGTACACCAGGGTCTCTGGAATTGACCGCAATAATGCATGGAACCAGGTCACCGATGGGACATATCGCCCCGCCCCCCAGTTAGCCCCGCCCACCTCGGGGCCCTCCCCTGTCCTCTGCAGCTCTCTCCCCGCAAAACGGCAGGAAACCGCAGCTCTACCCACCAAGCCTTGTCTTCCCCTATCCCCTGTCCTGCTGTGGGAGATGTTTTCTTCCCACACAGTCCCTGGCCCAAGGACTGCTTGTCTATTCGGGTACATACCGGGTCTTGGGACTCTTCCACCAGGGAAATGGAGTAAAATATCAGGCCTGAGAAGTCGGCAGATGGGAACTGCACAGCTTCAACTTAGAATGTTTCCTTCAAGTGGTTCTCAAGGGGGTCAAAGGCATAGATGTGCTGGCCGGGCCCCAGAGCCAAATCAGAGGTGCGAGAGCTGCCTTCTGGGAGGGACAGGAGGGCAGGGAGCCGAGGCAGCCCCGGCTGGTCGCAGCTGACAGTCAAGAGCACCCGTTCGCTCGTGTCTGAAGCCAGCCTGGGAGCTCCACGTTCCCAGTGTTAGGGCCTAGTGGACAGCCAGGTAATCGCTCATGAGCAGGGGCCAGCACTCACCAGTGTGCTCCAAACACCTACTACAGGTCAGGAGTGGGGACTCGAGATGCACACGCCTGCTGTGGAGGCGTTCGGTCTGGGATCCATAGGTGGTTTTATGCTTTGAACAACTTCCAGGAAGATAGCAGGAAGTCTTACAGGTGAAAACTGCAGAGATGGGCTTGGCAGCCTCATCCAAAAGCTCAGATGCTGCCTGACTAGCGCCAGGAAAGCATCCATGAGGGCTGTCTATTGCACGGTTGAGGCCTTGAGGGTTTGTTTCTGAAGAAGGTGAGCAAAGATTCTATCATGCATGTATAACTTGTTGCCTTCTTGTTTCTTAGGTCATGAGATGCAAAGCCACGTGCAGAAGAGAGAAGGGATTGGCCACATGCTGTCGTGTCACTAGTTAATTCAACCCCAAGTCTGCCTATTCTCCATCTCTAGAGGTCACCCTGACCCAAGGCCACCAAGCTCTCCCTACCTGGACTGCTGTCCCTACCTGGCCTTCCTACCACAGCTGTCATCCTTCTGTCCCATTCTAACAAGCTTTGACCCATTCTCGAGGCTGCAGCCACAGTCTAATGGCAGCGACTCCTGCTTAAAGCCTCTAGCTGCATCCTCATTTTAGGAGATCCCATCTAGGTTGACCTTGGCCTCCAAAGCCCTGAAGGATCTGGGCCCTGCATCTGCCTGAGACCCCATGTGTAGTGGGCACCCGCTGCCTTGGCCTCCCGTTCCCAACGTGCCAGCAGATGGCTGCTGTGGCCACGGCCATCCCCAGGCCCCAGGCATGGCTCCAGTTCACCAGCCTCTTGCTCTGGGTTGCAGTACAGATACACTCTGGCTACTGACACCTCTGCAGAAAACCTCCTGCAGGCCCTGGGGCACCGGCTGCAGGAGTGGCCTCAGCCTTCTTACTTCTGCGACAGCTGCCATGTGTGGGCTGTGCCCGCTGGACAGCCCCAGCTGAGCACACTCCTTGGGACTCCTGCTTCTAGTCTGCCTGGGGGATTCCCCACTGGCCCTGAGCCAGGCCTTGAGGGGGCAAACCCAGACAAGGTAAAGTCTTCCCCCAGGTCCCGCACCCCCCAGGTCCCCAGCACAGCCCTTTCGCCTCATTGCAGAGGCTCACAGCCGGCGTGCTTGCCACTCTGTGGGTTCCCAAGACACAGACTGGATGGTGGCTGCCACCACTCGGTCCCCCAGGAGCTGCCACAGGCCCAGACCTGCGACTGCACCAGGGCCCTGGGCTCCCCAAGGTCACTCCACATGGAGGTGATCCCCACGGAGCGGTGGGAGCCACAGGGTCCCAAGTCTGCCTGCTGCAAGCCTTTTATCAGCCTCAGTTCCTCTATGGCCGACTCCCTGGACTTGTGGCCTCACTGTACACCAGGAACTGTGGTGGAGGCTCGTGGACCCATTTTGTCTTCCCCACCCCAGAGGCAGGCGCTATGATTATTGTCCCATTATATAGGGAAGGAGGGAGCAGCCTTAGGACCTGGGCACCACATAGCTCCCTTTACCTCGAAGGCCCCTCCTGCCCTGTCCCCACAGGGCTGGTCCTGTGCTCCCTCAGTTCTCAGCCCTGCTGCCCTTCAAATTCCTCTACCCCCAGCCCCTGCTTGGTCCCTGGCTGGCTGTCCTGCTGTCCTAACAGGCTTTGAGAGCATCTAGTGAGCTTACCCTCCCAGAGGGGGAGCCCAGGGCACAGTAAACAAGGACCTGAGCTGGGCTCTTTTCCTGCCCTCCGTGCACCCCTGGGCCTGGAGGTGGGGCGAGAGTGCCTGCTTTTCACTGGCGCTCCTAGGCTATTTCTTCATTCCTCAAGAATCCTAGTCCCTTAAAGGGTCATGTCACCTGCCCACCATCCTCACCCTTCTCCGTAGATTGTTCTAGCACTGGCTTGTCTCCACCACCATTGTGGTCATTGCTGTTTACCCTACAGACTCTTCTTTGACCGTATTTCAATGAACCAGAGTTCTGTGCCATCATAGATGCCAAAGTTCATGGCCCAGATATCACTTCCAAAACAGACTTCTGATATCTATCTATACATATTTTTAGCTCATCTATACTCCCAGCTCAGCAATTCCTCAACCCTAAGCCCTCCTACTGCTAGTTCCCACCTCCCCTCTCCACTCCTACATTCCAAGACCCATTACCATTCCTGCTCTCTTGCCCAGGCCATCAGCCCCCACACAAGACCTCCACTCCGGCTAAACCAAGTCGGAAGGCCTCTTGCACCCAAGCAGCCACGGCCCTGAAAGCCCTCATTTTCGGGTCTGGCCAAACCCTGAGGGTCGGGGGTCCTCGGAAACGCCTGCTGCATTCGTGTCCATTAACGCTCATACATCCCGCGATCTCAATGTCACGGACTCACTCTCACAACTTCCTCCTCCCGCATCTATTTCCCCACCTCCGCTGCATCCAGATGTGCTGTGTCCCCCACCTTAGGTGCTGCCCCCAGCTCCCCACCCTGTTATTACCGCCACACAAGTCTATTTAGGGCAGATTGCTCCTGTGGTAACACTCACTCTGCCTGCCCACTTCAGTTTGGCTTTTATCCACTGATCTTCCCAGATTCACAAGTGACTTATTTCGAAAACCAGGACTCTACCTTGATTTGAGTCCACCAACAGCACCAGCTACAGTTGATGACTACCTTCACAAAAGGATTCTTTTATTTCTGGAACCTTATGCTCCAGCTTTCTATTTCTCAGATTTCTTCTCAGATGCCTTTGCTGCATCTTATGGACGAGTGGTTCTCAAATTTAGTCCTGGACTCCCCCCCCTCTTTTTTTGTGAGGCCTCTCTCCTTGGCCCACCTTCTCCCTGTATCTTCATGTAGTCTGCCCTCTGTGCATGTCTGCATCCTCATCTCTTCTTGTAAGGACACCAGTCACACAGGGTTAGGAGCTACCCAGAGACCTCATATAACTTAATCACCCTTTCAAAGACCCTATCTCCAAACTGAGTCATATTCTGAGGTATTAGGAATCGGGACTTCAACATTCAAACTTTGGAGGACAGAATTCAACCCATAACAGAGGGGAAACACAGGACATTCTGAGATTATATGCCCACTAAAAGTCCCTAAGATCCTTGAGACCTCCCTCAATGGGGAAGGCAGAAGCTGGGCATGGAAAAGAGCCTGTATTTCAAATCTTTAAGTCAGTATCTATTTTACCAGAGCTGAATTCACCGTTAGAGAAGATAGCATTTTTTTTTTTTTTTACAGCCCTCAGGGTTACTGGGGAAAGGGTCCTTTCTTATAACCCTTGGTCCTTTCCCTCTCTTTCCCAAAGATGGGTTCTTTTTTTTTGTTGTTGTTATCATTAATCTACAATTACATGAGGAACATTATGTTTACTAGGCTCCCCCCTTTACCTTCACCAAGTCCCCCCCCACAAACCCCATTACAGTCACTGTCCATAGTGTAGTAAGATGCTGTAGACTCACTACTTGTCTTCTCTGTGTTGCACAGCCCTTCCCGTGCCCCCCCAACCCACTGTACATGCCAATCGTAATGCCCCCTTTCTTTTTTCCCGCTCTTGTCCCTCCCTTCCCACCCATCCTCCCCAGTCCCTTTCCCTTTGGTAACTGTTAGTCCATTCTTGGGTTCTGTGATCCTGCTGCTGTTTTGTTCCTTCAGTTTTTTCTTTGTTCTTATACTCCACATATGAGTGAAATCATTTGGTACTTGTCTTTCTCCGCCTGGCTTATTTCACTGAGCATAATACCCTCTAGCTCCATCCATGTTGTTGCAAATGGTAGGATTTGTTTTCTTCTTATGGCTGAATAATATTCCATTGTGTATATGTACCACATCTTCTTTATCCATTCATCTACTGATGGACACTTAGGTTGCTTCCATTTCTTGGCTATTGTAAACAGTGCTGCGATAAACATAGGGGTGCATCTGTCTTTTTCAAACGGGGCTGCTGCATTCTTAGGGTAAATTCCCTGTCTTGGACTCTTTAGACAAAACTTACTCAAGTATACAACAGGCAGCCTGATATACACGATGAACTGCAGCATCTTTAGCAGGCTACGTGAAGCACTGGTCTCCCGGGTGGGCTCCAAAGACACGTCAGTTTTCTGTACTCAGTGGTTCTCTTGGAGCCAGAGCAGCCCTTAGGGCCTGAATGAAGCTTAGATCTGTGGGTTTCTAAGGCTCATTCCTAGCCCACATGGACAAGGACCACGTACAAGCTGGGCCTCCTTTTCTGGCTAGTTCCAGGTCACACTGAAGGCCAGCTATGACCTACTGTCTACAGAAGACGTATAGACTTTGAGTGAAGGCCCTTGAGCACAGGTAAGGAAGTAGCTGAGGGGTGCTCATTAATGCTGGAGACAGATGGACACAGAACTCTGACTCACTGAAGCTAAACTTGGCTTTTAAAAGAAGGTATCTTACACCTCCAGAGACAAAGAGTTAATTCTCAATCTAAGGACTTTAGAGGCACTGAATATTAGACCAGTTTAGATGTCAAAAAAACTGTCTCAAGAATATTTTGTTGGAGTTGAACACACCCACTTTCTAAACCAACAGCCACTATACCTTTATCTACAGAATAGGGACATGCCACCGGCCTGCCAGTTCGGTAAGAGCTGAAGAGGGTCCATGTGTGGCATGGTGCCTGGGATAGACATGCAATCATAGCTGTTACTTCCCTCCTTGGGTCCTGAACTCTGGAAACAATATTGTGAGATCTTGGTTAAGAAATGAAGATGGATTCTTCTGGCAGGAGTAAAGGGGAGATAATGTTGTCTAATATGTGTGATGCAATAGCTTTCAACTAATATGCATCTCTTTCAGCTCTGAAAATCCTATGGGAAAGCCACTACCATCGCCTCTCTATTGGGAAAGTGGGCTGGCAATGCAGTGAGTCACCCGTGTGTACAGATGTTATCTACGGTGAAGGTGATAGCAGAGACTCCCAGGGACACATGTCTGGCCACAGCAGACCCTGACCTGCAGCTCTAGGCCCTGGCAGGGGCCCTTCTGGGACTGGATATGGCCCCAGCTCGCCCCAGCACCCTGGAAGAGCAGACAAAGCTGGAGTCGGGTGAACACTCACTTTGGGGCCGGGAGACTCTTGCCTTCTCTGACTCTTCCTTGGAGGTGTGGAGAACCAGTCGGTATTTCTTTAAAATGCAGCTGGGCCCTTGAACATTCAGTGTCATCTGGGACAGACTTTTTATTTCTGAGCAAGGGATAAGGCAAAGGTTTAAAGGCTCATCGACAGTAGGGTTGGGGTGGGGGCTCGTATGTGGGACCACCAAGGACCCTCTGCCTCCCACTCTGGCCTAGGCCTGCATCATGTCTTTGCTGCTTGCTCCCTCCAGGGCCACAGGTCCCATCCTGGGTCCACACTGAGTGAGGATGGCATTTTCCCCACACAATCGTAAGCAGTAGATGTTCCCCACAAACACCTAGAACAGGGCCTGGCACAGTCGGTTCAGCGAGGGTTCCCCTCCAGTCTCGGTGTGAACCAGGACATCCTGGTCTACTGCCCAGACCTGGAAGCTTGGTTCCAGCCTCAGGTCAGGACCAAATCCAGGACTGCTTTTGCCCAGGTCAGTCAGCGTCCTGCCTTAGGCTGCAAGAGGGTTTTTACAAGAGGCTCACATGCCCCTTGGGTTCTGATTCATTTAGTCTTCTCAAACACCTTGTGAAGCTGACCATATCCCCATTTTACAGATGGCAAAACAAGACCGGGGAAGTTAACGTGCTCAAAATCACATCCGGGTAGTTTGTTATCTGACATCAGAGCCGTCTTCCCATGGGGCCACGTGGCCTCTTTCTTCCCAGTTACAAGCTTCAAGTCACTGACAAGCGACGTGTTAGATCAGTTTAGAGGGGAGACACCGGCCTGCATCTGTGTTTGCTAAGGTGTGGGACAGTGAAGGCCCAGGGGAGGGCAGAGTCCAAGGAGGGAAGGTGGTGAGAGTCCCCAGTCAGGGGCGGGCTCTTCCTTGCCTTCTGAATAGGACACCTTCGTGGGCCTCCGCCTACCAGCTGGCCCACGTCAGCAGGGCTGCAGTTCACAAGCAGGATGGCACCCCAACCATTGGGACCCCAGACCCAGTTTTTCTGCAAAGAAGACAGGACTGTTCGTTCAGGAAGAAACCAGGTAAATCTTGCTTCCCAGATGCTACCCCACATCAAGGGCAGAGACAAGCCTTCCTCCAGGGTGACAGGGACCTCTAGATCAGAATTTGCTAACTCAGGTGCCTGTAGGAACAGAGAGAAAACATCAGGTAAGTGGGCCAAGAGGAAAGGAGAAGAGCTAGATATGGGTCACAAATTTCCTATTTTCTTCCAGCTTCAAGGGAAGTGGGGACTGAGGCAAACTAGAAGATACTCATCCCATCTGAAGGGGCAGCTAACCCCCTTTTCTAGTTGAATATATGACAGGCTAAGATACAAGCCTAGGGTCAGACATTCCAGTGTTTAGAGAAAAGCAGAAGTCAACTACATCAGTTCTGATTTGCACTCTAGTAATTTGACTTAAGAGACACTAATAAGTCCAAGTAAAGTCTGTGGGCCAGACTGGTTCACAGTCCCTGGGCCCTGGGCCCTGTGGCCTACCCCCACCCCTGCCTCACCTTAGTCTCTTTGTCATTTGTCATCTGGACTCGCCCACTGCAGCTGATACCCACATCCAGGGAGACCGCTGGAACAGGAGGGGAAGGTCTCAGCCACCCAGACCTGCTGGAGAGAGCCTCGGCAGTCGATCCCCTAGAGCTCCCCAAGGCTGGTAGCAGGGCCAGCCAGCCTCTCCCGCATGTTGTCGGCTTAGCAAAAGAAAGTCCCTCAGAGGCAGACTGCTTCTCCTGAGCAAGCCTGGGGAGGTCCAGGTATATTCAGTTGTCTCCCCCAAACTCCTGGGACTTATAAAACAAGTCCATTGTGGTCACTATGCTATTTTGTGCCACTTGGCCTCTACCCAGGTGATGCCTACCTGGAAGGCCCACCTCTGGTGTTCTGAAAAGCCCTTGGCACTCTAAGACATAGGAGGGGCTCGATCCAAGTTAACCCTAAGCCCCTTTAGAGCCCAGGGACCCAGTCTCTCTCAAGTGTCCACTGAGGCTCCTACTGTCTTCACATGCCTCCTCCCAGCCTTCCCCCCACAACTGGCCACTGTATGCTTTCCCCTGGTCTTGTTTTTGTTCATAGCTCTTGTCATCTGACCTGCTATATCCCAACCAGAATGTCCAGGCCACCGAAACAGACCTTAGCACCTGGACAGGTGTTCAGGGACCGGATGCTAAAGGAATGTTCTTAAATGAGCAAGAGGGGACAGGATCTGGTGTGAGAAGATGAACTACAGACCATCCACCTAGAGTGAACCCATCCAGGAGCCCCCGGGCATCTGATTACAGGATGCTCCTTTACCTCCCCTTGCTTCTGGAAAGCTCCCCGCCCCAGGGCAGAGGCACCACTCACCAAAGCCAGCGAGGTACAGCTCTGCTGTGGCCACGGGGACTTCCTCATCAGGCTGGTAGTATGAAACCAAAACCTGCGGAGACAGCACCCAGAGCCCACGGGAACGCTGGGGGCAGGGGCCGGAGCAGGGCCCTGGGCTGTGTCCCCAAGTCTGGCCTCTTGACCCTGGTCTCGTGTTAGAGTTTAAGCTTCCGAAGTCTTACTGCAGGTTGGCACAGGGCCACCATGTTGTAATTCGGACTGAGAATAACCCATTGATAACATCCCATGACACCTCCAAGCATGTCCAGGCTGAAGCCTCACGACAGCCCATCCGGCTGGGCTCTACCCAAGGACAGAGATCAAGGAACTTGCCCCCAAGTTATTCAGCTAGAATGGATGGCACAGGATTTAAGATCCAGGTGTCCAGCTCTAGAGGTGAAGGTTTAAACTATGCTATATACCCTCCCCACTAAGCCTGCCCTCCTGGGTTCTCACCCATCGCCCCATGAGATGGGCAGTGAGGAAGTGGGGCTTCTTGTGGGTTAAGCTGCTCACTCAGAAGGAAATAAGGTGCTTGGGTGGAGACCGGGATCGGAACACAGTCTTTCCTGTGTCCCACACCAACCTCTGCTTTCAGAGAGGCCTTTATACCTTAGACAAGGACCTGCCCTTCAGCCTTTGGCCTTGACCACAAGACCTTCATCACAAACAGAAAAACCTAACTTATAGCCAGGGCTACACTTTCATGCATGTGACCCACCACCTGTTCCTAAATGAAAGCTTCTGTTCAGTGAAGTCAGGTACCTCAGTGGCCCTCTAGATGGTGCTGGAGGCTGGGCCCTGGGCAGAGGGCACTTCTAGGCCCTAGTTCTTACCTGGGAGATGCACAGTGCTTATCTGAATGCACCACCCGCCTCTTAGGGAGTCACCTGCCCCGGGCACAGAGTGTAGAATATGGTACTTACTACCGGTTTGTTAACCCTCGGCAACTCCAGGTTCTGCAAATGAACCCCCAGTCCTGACACGCCTCATCAATGGTTCACAGCCTCAGCATCACAGTGGAGTCACCTGGAGCACTGTGAACGATGGGAGTGGGGTCCCATCCCTTCCTCAGGTTGGTTTAACTGGTGAGGGGTATGCCTGAGTATTGAGTGTCATGAAGCCCCTGTGCCTTTAATCACACTGCACACATGATCTGCTTGCACCACAGCATCACTGCCAACACCTAGCTCGTGATGAGCCTGTTCTACCAGCTGGAAGTCAGCCTCCCCCCAGGCTGCCACATGCACCCTGTTAAGGAGACAGCATGCCCAGGAGAAAGAGCATGGACTCAGGCTCAAATCCTGGATCTGCCCCACTCTAGTTATGCTATTTAGGTTTATATAGGTCACTCTGTGCCTCAGTTTCTTTGTATGCAAAACAGAGCTAAAGCTGACCTCTTGAAACACGATGCAAGATACCTGGCACACAGTGTAGGTTTAAGTTTCATTAAGGTCTTTCATTAAGATCCAGAGGACCAGCTTCTGCTGGGAAGCCCATCTGAGTTATGCTGCTAAAACCTCTGACCCAGACTTTAAAAGCCACTAGTTTGGAAGCCAGCCTGGCGTCGTGGTCAGAAGCCCATGGGGAGGAGACTGACAGACTTGAGTTTGAACCCCGGGTCTGATTCCCAGGTTGGGCAGGGCGCCCTTCACTCGGTGTCTTGGTGTCTTCGTTTGGCAGAGGGGTCACGGAGCACCCACCTCACAGGCTGGTTGGAAGCCCTGAGTCACATCAGACATGCAAAACACTTGACACCACATTTCAGACTCAGGACCCCAGGAAATGCCAGCTGTCTGGGGGAGACCTCCCCTGGGAGATTCCCCCTCACCGTGCACCCCTCCACCCTTACCCTGTCCCCATCAGTGGCAGAACTGGGGGATACCATACTCGCCAGCATGTCCATGGGGTCAGACAGAGCCCAGCGGGTCATGGCAGACTCTTCTTTGGTCATGACCAGGACTGTGTTGTGGATACTGACTGAGACCCCTGCAGAGCCAGCAATGGTGAAGGACTTGCACTTCTGGGGTCACTGGTCTGCCCAGCAAGGAGGGGGTAACCTCTCAGCCTAGAGGGTAGCTGGCCTGATGGGGCCTGGCCCATCGTGCTCTCTTAGGGCTTTGGGCCAAAGGCCTGCTGGGCAGTGTGGCTCCATCCCGACGCCAGCCTCACCCCACTCCAAGGACCCCTGTGTCCTCCCTCCAGCCCAGACCTCACCTTCCCGCCAAGGTTCTAGAAACTACCAAAGCTACAGTTCATATGAATCCCCAAGGAGGGAGGAGTCATTTGAGCCACAGGAATCTCTGAAAGGGACTTGGGAGGTCTATGCTGTGACCCCAAGGAAGATCTGGCTTCTGATGAATGAGTCACCTCCCCACTAAGGCTCCAATTCACAGGAGCCCCCTCACTTAATCCTCATGGCTGCCTGGAAAGCCACCTCACCCCTATTTCACAGGTAAGGGCACAGAGAGGGGAAGGCACTCGTTTCTTCAAGGCCCCACAGCCTATGTGGGGCAGAGGTGGGATTTAGGTCAGAAACCCACAGCGTCAGGACTAGGAGCCAACCAAACCGGGCTCACCGAGATGAGGCAGGCCCCGAAGATGCAGAGAAGGGAGGTACATTCCCATATAATCCAGAGACAGCCCCAGGAGGGGAGCCCGGCTCCAGCCTCCCTGCCCAGACCCATCCCCCAGCCAGCCGGGCAGAGCCCCCAGCTCCTCACCCACTGAGATCCAAGCAGATTTCCATGCCCAGCACACAGATGGCATGGACATGGCTGTCCAGGGACAGGCGGACGATGCTCAGGAAGGACATAGCCCAGGCCTCCAAGCTGACTGCCCTCAGGCCTGCACTGCAGCCCTCACTTGGCACAGCAGCCGCAGATGAACCCGAGTTCTCCACCGCCCACCCCTCTTATGGGCTCAGGGTCTCTCCAGTCCACCCCCTTGTTCGGGAGGCTTCAGCAGCTGCCCAGCTGAGACTGGTTTTCTTCATGGAGGCTTGGAGGCGTGGGGGGTGGGGGCAGGTATAGAGGAGTAGGCGGTGTCAGAGCCCCTTCATTACTGATTTATTAGGCAGCTAGTGCCTGTAGACTCAAGGGGTCTGAAGCTGGCTGCTCAGGTCTCTGGTCTTCCGCTGGGACCAAGACGGGCTCTGGGAAGCTGGTGCTTGGACTGGTCAGCCTGGGAGGACTGACTCAGCTGGACGCTGTCAGGAGCAGAAATATCTGCATGAGGTTTGAGGGGTCGTGGTCAGGACGGCAGCGTGTGGCCACACTTCCCAGGTTCTGGGGCCTCAGAGCTGGGGCTGGACCAGTACTGATTGCAAAAATGAGTAGGGGACTTGTTAAAGTTGCAGATTCCTTGGTCTGGCAGGTTTGAGGTGCGGTCCAGGAATCTGCGTCGCATCCCCAGGTGATTGGGGGTGGGGGCGTTCCTTGTCCACAGCTGTGTCACCAGCTCCAGGCAGGGACACAGCAAGTGTTGGTGGGTGAGTGAGTGGAGGATCCCCTGCAGAGCTCAGTTCACCAGCTGCTCCCCATCTCCCCTGAGCTCAGTGAGAACTCCTCCAGCCCAAGGGACTTACCAGCGCACTTTAAACAGTGTACATTTTATGTTTTAGGTGGGAGTTATTCTTGAATAGGTATCGCAGTCCCATGGTTGCAAGTTTAGAAGGGGCTTGCAGCAAAGTCTTCTCTCTTACCCACCCAGGTCCCTCACATAGAAGAACCAGTGACATTCGTTTCTTTGTCTTTGTGGATAAAATGAGAGTTCCTGTGGCCAGGATTCTCACCTGGTCCTGATTGGCTAGCTTACCCACACATGTGGGCAATACGTTGCTATTGACTCTATATAAAGAGCCCCACCCAGTGCTCTGGGCGACACGGTGGCACGACTGCATGACAGCAGAGGCTGCAGTGGTGGCAGCGCCGAGGACAGAGGCCCAGACGCAGAGACCGGCTTGCTGCGTGCAGACTTGCTCTGAGTGAACGGGAGTTTAGTGATTGACCTGCCACTGTGGAAATAAAGTTGGGTATAACCCTTTCGACCCCAAGAATATTTTCCTGTCATTTCTTTGGTCACATCGAATCCATAGTGAACTTGCCCAGGGCTGAAACCCATTAGCAAGACAGTCTTTCCAAATAAATGGTATGCATGCATGACCACGCAAGCATCGTAAATACCCTCTCCTCCCTCCTTTTATGTATGTAGTGGCCGTATATGCTACAGTTTCATGCCTTGTGTTTTTCACTGCACAGCACCGCTTGGAGAGAAGTTCTTCATATCAGGATAGAAAAAGCAGACTAATTCTTTTTCACGCAGTTGTAGAGAACACGGAAATTCCATGGCCAGGATTCTCACCTGCCCCTGGTCGGCTTGCCCGCTGTGCACGTGCAGTGCTGCAAGTGCAGACATACACACGTGTTGTCAGTGGGCTATTACTGACTCTATCTAAAGAGCTCTGCCCCAGGCAGTGGAGGGGCCTGGAGGCAGAGACTGGCCTCCGGCATTTCAGACTTGCCCGGAGGAAGATGGGATTTTATCACTTGGCCCACCACCATGAGGGTAAAGCTGGGTATAAACTCTTTTACCCACCACATTCGGTTGCTTTTTGTTCTCACCGAAGCCGTGGTGGGCCTGCCCGGGGCCGAAACCCTCAGGTGAGACAGCTGTATAGGATTCTGAGTAAGGTGTGCACCACCACACATCTAAGCATTTATGTTCAGCCTTCTGCTCACACAGGAGGCTGCGATGAGTGGCCTGTGTGGATGGCAAAGGGGGCAGAGTTGGATACTGAGTGAGGACGGCTTGGCCAGCCGGGCTTGTTAAGTCAGAATTAAAAGTAAAAATTTTCTTCCTTGCGAATTTTAAGCACCCAGCCTCCCTGTCAGGGATGGCTTCACTGGGGGCTCTTAGCAGCAGGGCGGCGGCCAGGAAGACCCTAAAAGCCCCTCTGTTGGGTTGTAAGTGGCAAAATTAAACAGGCAGTCGGGCAGGGGGTGCACAACAAGTGCTCTCACCCTGAAGGGTTTGCTCACCTGCTGCCCATCTGCTCACGAGTCAGCCAGAGGTCGGCAGGAGGGAGGGGGTGACTCAAGGTCACTGTGGTGGGTGCTACAGTGTGTCACCTGACCCCCCTTCAGGACAGAGGCACTCATTTCTCCAGCAGCTGCTCATTGCCAGTCCCTCTCCCGGAATGGTCTATTGCCTATTCCCAAGGCTCTGCCCCCTCCTTGGGGACAGCTGCTTCCCATGCTGGGGCTAGGCAGAGGCCAGACTGCCTAATTCAGGGCAACTCCGAGGGCCCAGCCCAGCCCTGGAGCACCCTGTGGGAGTACATGATGCCTCTGCGGCCACCACGTCCCAGTCCATCGCCTCCCACTGCTCCCACGCTCCCCACCAGCTGGGCTTCCTGAGAGCCCCTCCACTCAGAAAACACCTGCAGGCAGCTCTCCCTCTCACAGTCTGCTTTTGGGAACCAGACATAAAACTGTTACCATACACTGTCATTTCAGACGTTCAAAAGTCGGACTCCACACAAAGGAAACCTCCAGTGTGGTTTTATAAAATTAAATCTGCCTCTAAAAAAAAAAGTTAATTATGTGACATGATAGAGGTGTTAGCTCACACTAGGGTGGCAATCATACTTAGCGTACAAATGTTATCAAATCAACACGTTGTACACCATAAATTTATACGATGTTATATGCCAATTATACCTCAGTTTTAAAAAGTTAAGTCTTGCTCCTTTCCTGTTAGGGTTTAAAGATGGTGCAAAGTTCAGAGCTGTGCAAAGGCGCTGCTTGCCTTCTTCCCTGCCTGTCCCAGCTGGCAAACCGTGGCTCCTAACCTGTTGTAGGTTGAATAATGGCCCCCGAAACATATCAGGTCCTAATCCGTGGAACGTGTGTCATCTCAAATGGAAAAGTTTTTGCAAATGTGGCTAAGAGTCTTTGAGATGAGAGGTTATCCCGGATTATCTGGGTGGATCCTATGTGTGGTCTCAGGGGTCTTAGTAAGAGGCAGAGGGAGATTTGATGCCCAGAGGGTGATTGCGCCCACTCAGACAGAGGCTGGGGGGATGGGGCCACCAGCCAAAGCCTGCTGGTAGAGGCCAGGAACAGCTTCTCCCCTAGAGCCCCTAAATCAGCTTTATGTGATAATGATTCTGGACTTCAGCCTCCAGACCGTGAAAGCATAATTTTCTGTTGTTTTAAGCCACCCATTTGGGGTCGTTCACTAAAACAGCCTCAGGAAGCGAACCTGTGGCCTCTGGGGAAGGGAGAGGAGTTGGGTGTTGGGAGACCAGGTAGCAGGGACGTTCTTGCTCCCCGGCTCTGTTGTAAGGCGTCTCCAGGCTCCGTGGGGCTGGAGGACTGGCAGCTGGTGCTTCTGTCCTGTGGGCTTCCCCGGCTCCGTCACAGGTGCTCCCACCCCATGAATGGCTGGCGGCTGCCCTGCATGTGCCTTGACCCCAAGGCGGCCTTGGCCACCAACTTGTCTCCCGATCCTCTGCGGCCCCAGGAATCTAGCAAAACCTTAGCTTTTGTCTCCGAGGCCCTTAGCTGCTCCAGGCTATCCCAACAGGTTTTGGACAACCTCACACCAACATCCTTTGTACACAGTCCCCCTTCTGGTCCGCAAAAAACACTCATGCACCTTCCACCCCAGAGAATTTAGGGTCTTTTTGCAGGGGTGGAGCAGCTGACCCTCTTCAGAGGAGCATATTCTGACGGGGGTTTTACAGATCCCCTTCTCCTCAGTGGCATGCGGAGGCTTTGGACGGCCACTTTTCCCACCATCATGTTTCCCACGAGCAACCGACACACAAAACAGTATCTCTGTGCATTTACTGAGCATCTCAGACTCTTTGGAGCCAAGATCTGGCCTCAGCTGAGAAGACCTTGAGTCCTCAGAATTTATTTTTCTACAAAGGAATCTAGGCCCCTATGTCAGGGCCATAAAAAACACATACAAAAGGACACAGGGGTTACTGACTTCATCCCCCCAGGTCCCTGGCCCCTACCATGTGCGTGCCAGGCTCTAGGCAGCCCTCGGCCCAGCAGCCAAGGAGACGAGAGCCTGCTTTAGGGCACTCTCAGGCTGGTGGAACAGAAATGGCAAATGTGAAGAACGAAGAGGATTCATGGACCCTGTGGCCCCCCTGGGTTCTGGCATTACTCGGCTGTTGTCCTTTTTCTCAAAGGACAGCATGAACAGGGGTGCAATTCTTCACCCCCCCTTGTGCTTGGAACTCGGCACATGTCCCTCTGCGGCCCACTGAGGAGGCGTCTCAGGCTGGTGTGACTTTACAGCCCTGCTTCAGGTCCTGCCTCCTGGCCATGCGCCCCTGTGATCCAGTCTACTTCTTATAGTTTTATTGTGTGTCATGATGTGTGACATCAGAGGTGTGTGCTTTATACGCACACGGTAAAGCAAGTGACCAGAGAACATTCATATACTTCAGGATGTTCCCTCGGCTGCTCTCTGGGAGGCTATTTCGATGCCGCTTTGAGGAGGGAAGGGTCGCACGTGCGGGACCTCAGCCTGCCTCTTCCCTCCCCTGTCTCGCAAAGGCTCTGTGGGTAGCTTAGACTGAGCCAGGCTCAGATCACAGATTTCAGACACCAAATGTTACGTGTCCAGGAGCTAAAGACACCCTAGTAACATTGGTCTTCAGTGTATGCTGGAAGCACCTTCAAGTTAGTAACATTCCATTCGACCATGAAAATGAAAGAATGAAGCCAGGAATGATCGCTTGACCTCACATACAAAGTGATTATAAAGCTTTACTGCAGCTCCTCAGAGCAGAACTGAGTGTGTGATGCTAGGGCCATCCTGGGATCTTCCCAGGGGGCACAGGGGGTCAAGGGACAGGGGAAGAATGCAAGCCACTGCCAGGAGGGTGCCACCTAGGGCTCTTGCTGTGCCACACTGCAGGGGACCAGAGCTCTGGCCAGGAACTTCCCGAGGGAGAGAACCCCAGGGGGGACCAGCTCAGGGCACCATGCGCCACCACTTGAAGGAGAAGGGTTGCCGGCGCACGTTGGTGCCACAGTGCACCTCCCCATGCTGAATGTGGTAGGTGTAGAAGTCGTTGATGAAGGTGCAGTGGAGGCCCAGCGGCTCCAGCAGGGACCGCACCTTCTCCTCCAGACAGCAGCGGCCGTTGATGACGGGCCCGAAGGGCTTGGGGATGCCCAGGTGCTTGCCCAGCACCAGCATGTTCACCTGCAGAGATGCGGGGTCACAGGTCAGGGGCAGCAGCGGGCAGCCTGCATCACTATCCAAGTGTCCCCTTCTTCAGACCTTCAGAAATAGTCCCACTTCACAGATGAGGAAACTGAGGTCAGACAGGCAAAGTGGGGTACCTGAGCCCACCCAGCTAGTCTAGGACTTATGCACAAGTCACAGAGCTGAGGAATACCCAAGACTTGTAACCAAGTCAGACACTGGGGCCCATGCTGTTAGCACTGCACTCTCCTTCCCCACCTGCTCCATTACTCAGGGCCCAGATCAAATGCCACCCACTCTGTAAAGCTATGCATGAACCCTGAACTCTGGCAATGAGTCACCCTTCTATCCTCCCACAGCTCCACAGGCACTTAAAATATCTGTTGAATGGATGAATAAGCGACTACCTCTTTTGTAGCACTCTCCATATGCTACAACTTACGTAAATGACTCTGTTTCCTCCATTACACTGGGAGGCAGCCCGGTGAGCTCAGAGGATGAGGATTTGGGCTCCAGGCCAACGTGGGTTTGACTCCCAGCTCTCCTACTCAATAGCTGTGTGACTTTACGCGTCACTTCACCTCTCTGAGCCTCATCAGCAAAATGAGCCCAACCACACGTCCACTGCTATAACAATTAGGTAACGTGCATGCAGAATCATGTGCTGGCACATAGTAGGGACACAGTCTCCAGGGCTTGTGCGTCATTGAAGGAGCATCTCATTCTCTGTCACCACTTAGACACAGCCCATTCCCAGTGCCTTGCACTCCTAGTTTCTTGGCCTGTTCCACGCCCACCCAGCCCCACCCTTGGGCTCCTGGGAGAGAGGCGTGGCTCATGCTCAGGCTCCTGACAGGGGCCTCGAGCAGTGAAGGCACACAGTCAGCCCAATGACTTCATTTAGACGCCTCACCCCCTCGCTGTTGGCATCAGCTTTCTTGCCTGAGCTGGGACACCTGGCTGGGCTAAACCACAGAAGAAACAAAATGCTGGGGCCAGGGGATTTAATTCAGGGAGCGAGAGGAGGGTGCCCCTCCTGTCTAATTGACCAAGGAACCCTTTATTCTAAACAAAATCTTAGGCAGCACCTCAGTACATAAAACAGAAAAGGCCCAAATCACTGGGTTGGAGGCACTGCCTGGCAACTCCAGTGCCCCGGGGAACCCAGTTTGACAACCACTGTGCCAGGGGCTACTGACTCCTTTCTGAACTGTAACCCCAGCTCTGCAAGAGCGGGTGCCTGAGGGGCCCCAGTAGAACTGGGGAAAGTTTCTGTTTGGCCCTTGGGGATTAGTGGAGAGACAGTGTAAGGCAGAAGCATGCTAAAAATACAGTAGGCGACTCAAGATGGTGGTTGGGGGGTCACAGTGACGTATTCTGTGACCCCCCCTTCAGAGGAGTGAACCCCACCCAGTCCAGGCAGTCCTGTCTCAGCTCCTCAGAGGGGTCTTCCTGGAAGCCCCAGACTGAAGGGTGTGTCCACCTTTATTCCCTTCCAAATACAACCTGAGGGTCTCTTGTTTGTTGCTTGTCCCCCCAAGCCTACCCCCCCCAGGGAAGCCTGCAGGGGGCAGTGCAGAGGGCTGGTTAGAGCGGCGGGACCTGCAGCCAGACTCCTGGTTCCAAATCCCACCTCTTGCCAGCTGTGTGTCCCTGTGCCAGAGCCCTCACCTCTCTGTGCCTCATCTGTAAATGACAGTCTCTTCTAACTCCGCCCACAAGCTGCACTGGACCACATCACCCCTTGTGGCTGGGCAAACTGCCAAGTCTCCTGGACCTGCACCCAGAGCCCAGCTGGCCTCCCTAGCTTAAGGCCATCGGCAAAGTTGCCTCTCACCATGTTCGGGAAAAAGGCTTCTGCCTTGAGGGTCCCCTTGAAGTCTGCCTGGAGCTTGAAGAGCTGGGGGATGTCCACGATGTCCTGCTCCGTCAGGCCCAGCTCCCGCTTCAGCACCTCGCGGTTCCAGTCGATGCAGCTCTGGGGGTGAAGGAGGAGCAGTGGGGTAGGGGAAGGCGAGCGGGGGACAGTGGGCACGGGCGGACACGGGTGGAGGTAGTGGAGCACCGGGCCTGGCTGGGGCCGACAGGGGTGCGGTGCGGAGCGCGGTGTGGGTGGGGGCCTGGCCAAGGGAAGGACAGCCCCCGTGTCAGGAGGGCACTGACCTCCTGCCCTCCCTCAGCTCTGCTCAGTCCCTCTGCCTCTGGCTTCTGCTTCTGTGTCCCCGTTTTTGTGGTCATTTTGTGTCACTCTAGTGCTTGACCTCTCTCCTGCCTCTGTCCCTGAGGACACGGGTTCGCCTGCCTTCTCAGCCTCCACTCTCCTGACTTCCTGTCTTTTCCATGCATCACCCTGGTCTGTTCAGTAGCGGTGCCTGAAGTCTCCTCTCGCTCTCACACCATTTACCCAGATCCCAGGGCCTTCACGGCCAAGCCAGCCTGCAGCCCGTGGGAGGCTCTGCCTCTAATCACAGGGAAGGTGGCTGGGGGTGGGGTTAGGTCTGCCCAGGATGTGGCATCTCCTGGGCACCCAGGCAAGTACCTCCGCGTATAAATTATGTTCTCTCAATTTCTTGTTTGACAATATCTCCTTTATTTTCTGCTGTTTTTTTCCTGTTATGGAGAAAAAGAGAAAAACATGCAAATGGGCTTAGAGGTCAACCTCCCTCTTCCCAGTAGGTGCTGTGGGGACTCAGTTTTCCCATCTATAAAATAGAGGCAACAGTGATTCCTAACATACAGGTTTATTGTGAGCACCTGGGAGGCAAAGGCCTTTAATAAACTATTTCATTAGTATAAGTTCTCCTTTATAGCATAATTCACTCCTTTCAATTCTCTTATCTCCAAAGGGGTCCTGGTTACTGGGAAACAAGTCTGCCCGTTGTCTGCTGCCACATGACATATTACAGATAACTGGTGAAAGCTCAGCCATGAGGACTTACCAGCCTCTGATGCTGGCCCATGTCTGTAGACTTTAATGAAGAAATAAGCTTTCATTCTGTGCCCCAGCTAGACTGAACTTTTCTTCAGTCCTCAAACACATGTTGCTGTCTCCTGCCTCTGAGCCTTTGCATTCACTGTTCCCTCTGTCTGGAACATCTCTCTTCCTCTCATCCCACTGCTTCATTTGCCTGACCAACTCCTGCTCATCCCTCATGCTCTTGCATAGTCTTTGCCTCCTCCAGGAAGCCTCCCTTGAGCTCCTTCCAGACACCCTGCAAAGCCCCTGTTGTAGTTGTTCTCTGAGCCACTTCCCCTGACTGTGAACCCTGAGGGCAAGGAGCTATTCTACCCTGTTCACACAGCATCCTTAGCACCTACTGCAGTGCCTGGTGCACAGCAGGTGCTCAGAGGACACACATTGCCTGAATCTGGCCATAGACCCCATGAGGGCGAGAAAGGACCCCAGGGCAGAACAAGGCATGCGCAACTTACTCTTGACCCCTTCAAATAGCACGGCCTCTTCATGGCCCTCCTTCAGCAGTTCCTGGAACAGTTTATAGCAGGACCTGGGGCTGGCCAGGAGCAGCCGGAAGCCCTGGAGGCAGAAATACTGGGGTCAGAATCAGCTTTGCCCCAGGGGCTCCCAGGGAGGAGGGTTCTGCTGAGGGTATGGAAATGCGGGCTTGGACCAGGCTGGCAGCCTCCTCCAAGCACCCTCCTGGGCTGAGGGGGAAATTGTGTCAGGCATGTAAGGCCAGGCCTTCCAGGCAGAGTGCAGAGTTGCACTTGGGAACCCAGGAAGGAGGCATGTGGCTTCCATCAGGCAGCTCCCAGACCACACCTTCCCATGCGCCGGAACAAAGCTCAGGAACTCATCCACGTGGCCCACGAACAGCCAGTCGGAGTAGAGCCTCACTGGGGCCTGCACCTGCTGGGCACTGAGGAAGTCCTGCAGGGCCTGGTGCATCTCATGGCTCTCATTGCTGCCAAAACGGGATGAAAGAAGTGTTAGGTGAGGGGTGGGGGTCGGAGATGACCAGCCTTGGTGCTGGTATTGAAGGTAAATACAGGGTTCGGGGCTGTCCGGCCTGGGTTGGTGACCCTGTTAGCTGTGTAGACTTGGGGTACTCCTTCACCCCACTGAGCTTCAGGTTTCTCTTGCTCTGGCCTCCGCAGTCCTGCATCATCTAGCCCCTTGTTCTTCGTCTTACCCAATCTGTTTTAGCCACTCTAGCCTTCCTGAACATACCAAGTTCATTCCTGCCTTGGGGCCTTTGCACATGCTTTTTCAGCTGCCAGGAATCCTCTACCCCAGAGCTCCAAGCAGCCATGTTGTCCTTGTCATCAGGCCTCAGCTCAAAAGCCCCCTCATCCCTGGGCACCCTAACAGCCCCCACTCCTCCTCTGCCCTCTCTTTTTTGTTTTTTTCACTATCTGAAATCATCTTATTTTGTTCACTTTCTATTATGTGTCTCTCCCACTAGAACAGCGGCAGGGACTTGTCCACCACGTTCACGGCAGCATTCCTTCCCCGCTCCTAGCACACAACCTGGCACATAGCAGGTGCTCAGTAAATTCTCACTGACCCTAAGAGTGTCGGTGGCAGAACTGCAGTTTGAGCTTGAGTCTACTGGGCTCCTGAGCCCGTGTTCCTTGCTCTGCACTTTGATTCCTCCCACATTCCCTAAAGTATGTGGAGCCCTTTTACATTGGGAGAAAGTAGGCCAGGCTTCCATTCTGGCTTCTGCTTTTCCATATGGCATCCCTGGGTCTACCCCTCTCTCTGCTTCCCTCCTCACCTGGGATAACTGCTGCTCCCAATGAGAATCCTGCCCAGAGGGTAATTCTTCTTCCCGACTCTAACTGGGGGGCTCACTTCCAGGTTTCCAAAGGAGTCGAGGTCAGTAACATTTCCTGTTTGGGGCCCTCGAGTCACGTAGCCAAAATCTGGACCCTGAGATGGGAGAAGCATGTGCCAAGTGTTAGATAAACTTGGTCCCTGGGTGGAGAGAGGGTGGGGTCCAGGTTGAAAGATTAACCCATCACTGGAAGGAATTAAGCAACTGTCAGCTGCTGGCAGAGAGCAGGCAGCTGGATTATTTATGTAATGTTGAAGGAATGCTGAATCCGGGGATTAGGAACAGGGACCAGCATTTGTTGAGTCCCTAAAGTGTGCCAGCTGCTTCATAAACCTTAACCTGGGCATAACAATGAATCTGCAAAGCATTGTTGTTATCCTCATTTATCAGAGAAGAAACAAGACTCCGAGTGGTGTGGGGTTCCTTCAGTCCCCCGGCCAGTGGGTGTGCAGGGACCAGGATCTGAGTTGTCTGCACAGCAGGCCCTTTTGGTTCCCACCATGCACGCAGCGTCCTGACCTCGGGCTGGAACGAGCTCGGCCGAATGGCTGTGAGGACTCCAGGTGGGTCCTCCGGAGAACTGTTGGCAGCACATCTCCCCTCCTCTGGACCAGTTTCTATCGCTGTTGTAATATACAAGTGTTCTCTCGCAGTTTGGGAGGTCAGGAGTCTGCAGCTGGTTTCACTAAAATCAAGGTGGGGCAGGGCTGGTTCCTTCTGGGCCCCGAGGGACAATCCATTTCTTTGCCTTTTTCAGCTTCAGGTGGCCACCCAGGCCTGTGGCCTCTTCCTCCATCTTCACAGCACATCTCCCAGCCTCTGTTCCTGCCATCACATGTCTCCTCCCCCTCTGAGCCCCTCCCTGTTATAAGGACCCACCCAGATAATCCAGGAGCATCTACCTGCCTCAAGATCCCTAATTTACTCACATCTGCCAAGTCCCTTCTGCAGTGTAAGATGGCATCAGGCTCCAGGGCCTAGGACCTGGACATGTTGGAGGGACCATCATTCAGTCTATTGCACTAGCTCCAGCTTTCTACAGATCAATGGGCTGTACCCTGGAGCTTCTGGGGCACCCATGGACTCCCCGAAGGTAGATTCCAAATTGTGAGCTTGGGTGCACTTTTCTGGGAAGATGTGACTCCATGAGTTTAAAAGCCATCATTTCCAATTCTAGTCCTCCGTTTCTCTCTGAACCCCACGCCAACCTCCTTCCAGCCACGCCTGGGCCATTGAACCTGTTTTCATCCAGGTCTCCATGACCGCCACACAGCTAACCCCTGGCAGGCAGTGCTCGGGCCTTGTCCTGCTTGCCCACCGGCAGCAGCTGGGCCAGCCGGTCGTGTCTCCATTCTCCACATACTTTCCCCACTTGGCCTCGGGGACATTGGGCGCTTTTTGGTCCTACCCCTCCGATGCTCCGTCTCCTGTGCACAGGGTGGGGCCCAGGCCTGCATCTTCTTTTGTTCTCCAGTCTCACCTGTCTTTTGGTGATGTCACTCAGGCTCATGAAATGCCATCCATGTGCCTGGAACATCAGGCTCCAGGTCACTGAACAGGGTAGGACGGAAGCCAGCGAGAAGGGCCAAGGTCTCCGCGGCAGCTGACTGATTTGTCCCATTGCTCCTGGACAGGCAAACCTGATTCTGTGGCGGAGACACCGTGAACCGAACGAAGTCCCTGCATCGGCACCTCTCAGCTCAGGACAGTAGGCATGACTCCGAGAGTTGCCGAGTTAAACTCATGTTCTTCTCAAAGCCTCCTGTGTGGGCGGGGCCGCCTCCCTTTCCCCTGGGGTGCAGGGTGCTCCTTGGAAGCCATACATCGGAGCAAGCCTTGCACCCCACACTCTTTCCTCCATTTCCTCTGGGCGCCTGGAGTCAAGGGACTGTCAGGGCTCAGAGTGCGGGTCTGGTGACCTCCAGGGGAAGCAGGGAGACAGGGCGGTTCAGAGCTGTGCCCATGGAGTCAGACGGGCCTGGTTTGAATTCCAACTTCTCCACTCTTTTTGTGTGTGACCCTGGGAAAGCTGCTTCACCTCTCTGAGCCTCAGTTCCTTCATGTATAAAATGGGCCTAGGGATAACATCTACACATATTGCATGAGTCAGTGCATGTAAAGCCTTTAGTGCTGGGACTGACACAGAAAGACGCTCAATGAAGACAACCATTGTTATTGTTATAGTAATTCTGTGCTGAGTTTGCACGAACCTGCCAGGCGGGTGGAGCATGACTCACCACTATGTTACCCGCCTCCCCAAATCCCAAACACATGTAGAATCTTGGGCTGATAAAGTCACACCCAGGAAATGGCCATTCTGATCCTGAGACCCAAGCCCTTGTCCTCGGTGGAGCCCCTGAAGGCCAGAGCACCCCCCCCACCGCAGAATGGGGTAGGTTCTGCTCCTGGTCCCCCCTCTACGCCACAGTAAGAGCATCCTCAGTGGAGCAAGATGCCAGATGCCCAGCCTGACCTGTATCCTTGGCAGGGTTACCCTGAGGACAAGGTGAGCTCATAGCTGGACAGGGCTTTGGGAGGAGCCAGATCTCATCACTTGAATAGCAAAACTAACAGTCACCTGCCTGATCTGTGCTCAAGTGGAAACGCCGCCGTGGGGGCCAGACACGCCGCCGTGGGGTGGGGAGAGCAGCCACGAGGAAGGAGACCTCGAGGCAAGGGGGTCCCGGCCCCACTGCCCCTCCAGCACCTACCAGCACACACTTGATGGGGAACTCCTTCAGGCCTCTGTTCCTGGGAGAGTCAAAGACCACGGGCAGGGTCTGGTGCGGTGCCTGGATGTAGCCGATCTCCATTTCATCCTGCGGAAGGGAGGCTGGTGCGCATGCTGCCGGGTCCCGACGCCCAGCACAGGGATGGGGGTGGGACCACCCATGATGCTCTCCTGTTTGTGTTCAGACTCGGGTGATAGTCAACCCCAGAGCAGGGGCTCTGAGAAAGGCGAGCTTATTATCGTGTATTTGCTCAAACAGGTTGTGAAATGCCGCAGTGCCCTCCTTCAGTCCCACTCCTGGTGAGTGCCTGGCCGGGTGCTGCTGGGTGCCGGGGTCCCATGGAGGATGAGCCCCGGGCCCTGTCCTCAGGTGAGAGACCCAGGGAGCTGGGCACTTGCACCAGCACTAGGAGGTGATGGGAGAGGAAGCGGGGAGTCTGGGGAACAGAGAGGATGCTCCTGATGCGGCTGGGCCAGGTCAGAGGAGACTTCCTGGGGACAATGCTGCCAAGCCGAGGCCTGGAGAGCAGGAATGAGAGTACCCCTCCCCCAGTGGGGCAGGTAGGGCCCAGCCCATGGGGCAAAAGGGGGAGAGCTCAGAGACAGGTCTGGTGCACAGCCTGCCTGTATTCGAGGAGGCAGATGTGATACGGGACATGTACTATTAGGCTGAGGTAAAAAAGGGTGCTATGCCAGCAATTCTATGCAGTTCAACCTAATTTAACACAGATCCAGTGATAAAAAAGGAAGAGAGGACCTTGCTTGGTTGAAGAAAGAGGGGTGGATTCCCGCTGGAGGGATTGGGGAAGGTTTTGGCGGGGGAGCTTTGGAGCGGGGGCTGGACAGGCATGATCTGGACATGGGACGGAGGATGGGGCGGGCAGCCAGAGGGAAGGAAGAGCATGGGCGAAGATATGGAGCTGGGGGCAGGTGGCCGGCACGGGGGGGCAGAGTCCCAGGGCAGAGCAAGGGGGTAGCCAGGAGGTTCAGTTCAGCCCACCAACAGCCCTGTGCCACCCTCTGGGGTGCTTAGCTATGAGATGCAGGTCCTGGCATGATGGGGGAGACTGGCACAGAAGCAGAATGGTGATGCCGTGTGGTCAGTGTGGTGGCAGGCTGGCACTGGGTGAGGGGGGCAGCCAGGTAAGGAGGGCCCTGGGGACAGGCTGAGAAGGAGGAGATGGGAACCATGGAAAGTGCCAGACTGGTGGGTGGGCCTGGGTGGGTGGGCCCAGCAAGGCTGGCCTGGAGGGACCTGAGCTGGCAGCATTTCTGGACGTTGTCTGAAAGTTTTCAAGCAGGAAGGTGGCTTTCATCCTGGTGACCGTGGCAGGCATGCAGTGGCCCATGGTTCATGCTAATTGAATCACTTGCCTGAGACCCCACATATGAGGACCCACAGAGGCAACTGGCGCCCTGCCCACGCCAGGGTAGCCAGCAAGGGGCCTGGCCAAGCCTCAGAGCCCCAGTCCCCAGGCGTCCCTTGGCCCTCGGGGGCTTTCATCCTGCATGTCCCGGGCCGCCTGCCCTGCGGGGCCACGTACCTGCATCCACCGGTCCTCCATGTTCTGCTCCTTGGAGCAGATGGTCAGCTTGCACCTGGCTTTCTTGGCCAGAGCAGTCACTGACTTCAGGAAGTCCTCATTTTCAAATGTCCTAGAAAGAAGAGAAAAAAAGCTCCTTAGTGCTTGGGATTCAGTGGCCATGGCATTGGCAGGGCTCTGAGTGGGGTACACTGGGCCCCTAAAGGACCCCTAGGGGTGCGGCAGGGGCTCAGGCCTGGCCAGAGGGGGAGGTGCACAGTGGGTGCTCAGGAGATGCTTGTGGTCTGGACAGAGACGCCTGCCTCGTCCTGTCTTCCTGCTTTTAAAAGCATTGTCTCACTGAACCCTAGGAACAGTCCATGAGGGGAAGCAGCCCTTCCACCGAGGAGGACAGAATTAGGGGTCACTGCTCAAGGTCATGCCCCCTGGGGGCAGCTCTGGGATTCAAACCCAGGCTTGCTGGCTTCCAGCCTGTGTCCTGGCCACCACGTTACACTCTCACCCCTCCTGCCCCAGAGCAGCTGGAAGAGGAGAAGGGTCCTCCGGAGACCCCAGTGGACTTGACAGATGCCCTTGAGAGTGGGATGGATGCAGATGGCCGTATCCCCAGGGACAAGACCTGGCAGTTCAGAGGCCGGCCAGGGTTTTGAATGAGCCCCCGGGGCTTCTGGTGTGGCAGGTTCACAGGCCACATGCAGAGAAGCCCTAGAAGCTTGGTCCAGGGACCGAAGGCTCTCATCTTCTGGGTGTAGCAAACTCTATGGGTGCCCAGGTGCTAAAGCAGGGCTCAGCCAGCATCAGGGCAGGCTAGAGACAATGGCAAGGACAGTAATGATCTCCCTGCCTTTTCATGCCTCCAAGCAAGCGGCAAGTCCTCAGCAAGAGGTGGCAGGGCTCCACCCCATTCACAGAGCAGGCGTGGTGGGCCTGCAGCGAGGACCCGGGGCTCCTGGTGTGCCCGTGCCCCTCCGCCTAGCATGCCAGCGCTCCTCACCTGCACACATACACCTCCCTCGGGGGCTGAGTGTTGGGGGTCATGATCCAGGGGGCCACGCGGAACACCACACTGTCTTGGAAAACCGGGATGTTGGGAAGTTCCTGCAGGGAGTGGGCACGGGAGGGGCTGTCATCGCAGCCAGGGTCCAACACCTACTGCTTCCCAGCGGCTGTTTGGAGTCCCCTCCCCAGCTGGGGTGTGCACACCCCCCATCTAGCTGGGCCACCACCTAGAAGCCCAGGCCCCCCCAGGCCATCTTGGTCTACCGGGTTGGACATGTCCAGCAGGGAGATGGTGAGGGAAATGAGCCCTGGGAAGTTGGCGTCTGGGAAAGCGAGGCCCTCCACGTAGAAGTCTGTGCTCTGCTGGCCTCCCGGGAGCTCCAGCAGGTATGAGGGCTGCTGTGGCCCCAGGACCTCCCTGTACTTGGAGGGCTGTTTGCCACCTAGGAGACAGAAGGGAGGCTCAGGTCTGCGTCCCTACCTCTGAAGACATGATCTTCTCCCCAGGGCTAATGTCTTCCCAGGGCCACCACATGTCACCCTGAGGGCCCCTCACAGTTAGTTCTGGCTGGAGCCTCCCCTTAGGAGAAAGGGACTAAAGCCTCAGTGGGAACAGGGTCCCCTGTCTGCAGGCCCAGGAATGAAATGATGGGGGTCCTGGGTCATTCCCAACTTTATGAAGTCTAATATACATGACAGTTCACTCATTCATTCATTCACTCATTCATTCATGCGTTCCCAAGCACCTGCTGTCAGTTGACACCTGAAGAGACCAGGGAGACAGTCCCTGTCCTGGTCCCCAGGGATGCCCAGTCTCCTGGGTGAGTGCAGAGGAGCAAAGACAACCAAATCGCAAACAGGATTAAATGCTGTGATGGAGGGAACTCTGGAGAGCCAGAGAGGGCTTCCTGGAGGAGGTGATGTCTATAAGGAGGCAAGGAACTAGTTTGTTGCCAAATCAATGTCAGTCTAATCACTTTGATCTGGAATCCAAGTAAGTCAGATCAAAACTCTTGGATGGCTTCCCCCACATGCCTCAGACTAGGAGGCAAAGTCATTCCATGCCCACCAGATTCGATCCCTCCCTCCTCTACCCTCACCTACCACCTAACCCGTACATACTGCACTCCAGTCGCACTGGCCTCCCGGCATTCCTCAAGCCCCCTTTGCACCTGTGGTTCCTTCTGCCTGGAATGCCCTTCCCCTGGGTGTCTGCATGGCCGTTACTACACCTCCTTCTTAATGCCACCCGGCATACTTGGCATTTTACTTATTTTATACATTGTCTCTCAACCACTGAGATGAAAGTGATGTGAGGGTGGGGACTTTTCATGTTCTTAGCTCTATGTCCTGTGCCTGGAACCCAACCCAACACTCAGTAGCAGGTGCTCCTGAGCTCCTGAGAGGTAACTGATGTCTTTGCTTAGCAGGGTCTTGGAAAACCAATTCTACATGACACTTACAGTCCACTTAGATTAAAAAATATCTCTTTAAACAAGAGCCCCCTGTGTATGTGTGTGACAGAGACACATACAGAACAATTCTAACAGTCCCTGGGAAGGAGGCTGTTCCCACCACCACCCATCATCTTGTCGGACTGCATTTTGCCTATGTGCCTTTTCTAGAAGGTTACAGGTAGTGATGTTGCCCATCTTGCTCACTGTTGTATCCTTTGTTCTCAGAACCCAGAACATAGTAGGTGCTCAGGAGTTATTTCCCAAAGGGGGTGTGAAGGGGCTGACCCCATTGGCTGGGGCAGAAAGGGAACATTCAGATGACAGTCAAGGGTGACTCACGATTGGCTTGAAACACCCTGACTTTGTCCATCTCAGATTTGGCCACGTGGAGCACCAGCTGGTGCTTGAGGAAGAAGTCCGCGGGGGTCTTTGTGCTCAGGGTCACCAGGGACATGTCCTGCAGGTCTGGAACGAGAGGGAGGTGGCCTGAGACACCGGCCCCGGGCCCTCCCTTCCTCCACGTCTGCCCTCCCCTCAGGCCACTCTTTACCATGCTGCCGGGTGTGATTTTCTTCATGCTCTTTCCAGTATTTAAGTGATGCTTTTCATTTCAGAATTAGAGCTGATCAAATTTTTGGTCTTTTCTCACTAGGATGAGCTTAGGAAGCACGTAGAGCAACAACTAACACACAGCAAGTGCTTGATAACTGTTTGTGGGATGGCTGAGCGGAAGGGTTTCTCCCCAGGCCTGAGTGGGGAAGTGAAGCAGCCGGGGCGGTGGCCTGCAGAGGCGTGGGAGAGCGCAGCTGGGCAACAGCCTCGGGGTTAGGGGCAGGGTCAGCAGGGTTTGAACCCTGGATCTGCATGAGCTTGGAGGAATTATTTCAGTTTTTGGTGCCTGTTTCCTCATCAGTAAACAGGGCTAAGGCTAGTGCCCACGCACAGGGAGGAGTGAGGTCATGTGTATAAAGTGCTTATTACAGTGCCCGGCATCCTGGGAGTACCCACAAAGGGCACCAGCTATTTTGATTAATGTTATGTGCAAGTGCTGTGTGGCACCTGCCCTCTGGCATCAGGCCAGGCATACTGCCTGCAGCTTCAAAATGCATCCATTACTGTGCTAACTAGCAATGCCCAGGAAGGCCAAGCAGCTGCTCTGGCCGGGGACCTCAGCCCCTAGCGCCCTCCTCCAGTGCAGGTGGGCAATGTGTCTTCTACCCCCGCCACACTGCAGAGGTATGCCAGCAGAGACCCTGCACCCATCACCACCCTTGTGCCCCTAAACCTGCCCTGGTGTTGAGATGTCCAGGCTTAAATCCTGAGCCTGCGACTCACTAGCGGTGTGACCTTGAGCAAATTGTTTAACCCCCCCATGCTTCGGTTTTCCCCTCTGTAAAGCGGGGGTGAGGATAGTACATACTTCTGAGCTTGGTGTTGAAGGAGCATGTGAATTAGTAGTCCTGGAGTGGTCAGTGCAGTGCCCAGCATACAGCCAGGCCTCAGGCTGCTCTGATATGAATCTGGGGTGGTAGTCAGGCTTTTGTTTTGAATTATTCAACCCAGGTTTGACCCAAGAGCGAAGTACAGGTTGGGCAATGGGCCAGGGCATGGAAGCTGGGGCCTGGAGGAGGCATTGGGAGACCCAGCATTGGTCCCAGCTCTTCTCTGGCTGCTGTGTGATCCGGGGTGGGTTGCTCGCCCTCTCAGGGTCCTTGACCCTTCCTTCACCTGTACAGCAGGCATGCTAACAAGAACACGCTTCCAATAACCCCGGTTTCTAAGGGCTGTTACAAAGCTCAGGATGAAGGCCTATAAAACGACAAAGCTCTGTGCCCATCAGCTCTGGGGGGCTCTTTACCTTCGCTGTTAGACACCTTGTCATCCTTGCAGTCCATGGTGGGAGACTTGGGGTTGTCCTTGTCACAGTTCACCAGCAGGATGGCACCTTGCCCACGGGCACCCCAGGTCCAGGTCCTCTGTGGACACCCAGCACAGATGGGACACACTGAGGACCCCGTGGTTTCCACATCTTGCCCAGTTTAGACACCTTGCTCCCACATCAGGTAGCTCCTTGCTCCCAAGGGGGGATTCCTGCCTGCCCCCATGTCATAAGCAAATTCACCAAAAATGCAATTCAACTGCTTAGAAAAAGGAGCCCAAGACAGAAAAACTGATTTTTAACAGCTTTTGAAAACTGTTGGATTGGCAAACCAAACTGAGCTAAATATTGTGTCAAGATTCTAATCTTAATAGTTACTCTTAATTCCTCCTTCACCAAAGCATTGCTGTTATTCTTGGCAGCTAGCTACTGTCTGTGTGGTGATTAAAGCAAATTAAGCAGCCCCTCCCGGTGGGGTCTACTAGTGATGACGTCTTCTATTTTCAGGGGAGGATTTGCCCCCAGGGACTGTCTTGGGTGGGACATAAGGATGGATTCCACTCCCAGACTTGTAATTCTTCCCTCTACTTTTGACTGACCCTGCAAAGGGATCACCATCCTTTGACAGGTTATGTCCTCCTAAAGTGCTCGCCAGCATAAAATTGTGCAGAAGCACATGGATGGGGCTAGAGGGTATTATGCTCAGTGACATAAGCCAGGCGGAGAAAGACAAGTACCAAATGATTTCACTCATCTGTGGAGTATAAGAACAAAGCAAAAACTGAAGGAACAAAACAGTAGCAGACTCACAGAACCCAAGAATGGACTAGCAGTTACCAAAGGGAAAGGGACTGGGGAGGGTGGGCGGGAAGAGAGGAAGAAGGGGGAAAAAGGGGCATTACGGTTAGCACACATAATGTAGTGGGGGGGCACGGGGAGGGCAGTATCGCACAGAGAAGACAAGTAGTGATTCTATAGCATCTTACTACGTTGATGGACAGGGACTGTAATGGGGTATGTGGGGGGGACTTGGTGATGGGGGCAATCTAGTAACCATAATGTTGTTCATGTAAGTGTATATTAATGATACCAAAAACATATATATTGTGCAGAAGCTTTGGGGTTACAGGGACACCCAGAGCTTTATTCATGCACCCCCGTTAAGACTAGTCATCACCTGCACACCCCACCACCCCATCTTTCTGCAACATACATTCCCTGCCCCCACCTGGCTCCTTTCCTCTCCCGCCCCCTGCCATGTAGTCCTCTGTCTGTTATTCACTCCGTCTTGGCAGCACCACGGGAATGTCTCCCACCGGCTGTGAAAGCCTGGGGTAGGGGATTTTTGAGGCAGAAGTTGAGACCTGCCAGCAAATTTTCTCTCTGTGGTGCATTAACTGGGGGGCTCTGTAGTTTCCAGTTTGTAGCACAACACAGTCTCTGAACTCACAACTAGTGAAAGCTTAGTTTTGTAAGAGTTGGAAAATATATAAACCAAAATGGTAATGGTGGTTTTAATTTTTTTTCTTGTTCTTCCTAACTTGTGTCTCTTTTTCAGTTAACAGGGGATATGCAAGACAGACCGCTATTCATCCCATAACCACCAGGAGGCGCCAGAGGCGAAAACCCAGCAGAGTTGAGAGCGTTTAGGGCGGTTGAAGTTGAGCGGTACCTGGTCCTTCCTGGCTTTGGCCGGCTTCACTTTGCCAGTGCGGGTGATGTCCGCGCTCAAGGAGATTTCTGAAATTACACCGGTAAGAAGAGGGATTGGTGAGGGTACAGGGCTGGGGCACTCAGGCCCCAGAGGACGATGCTTTCCCCAGGAGCCTGTTCTCCCGCCCCTCGAGCTGAGACACAGGTTCAAAGGCATGCACAGATCGGGGCTTCTGACCACGCCCATTCTCCCCAGGGGGGCAGGCACAGCTATGATGCCGACCAGACCCTGCATGTCTGGCCATCCCTCAGGGTTTCCAGAAAGAATTCCCAGCCGACAGGGTGTTTGACCTGAAGCCCCTGCTGGCCCAGCTCTCCAAGCCTCTGGCCCCGCCTCTGGTCCCAGGGATCTTTGGGTGGGGGACACAGTGATGACTCCAACCCCACTGGCTTCTCATTATGTGTACTGTGACTGCACTGGGGACAAATCGTGGCCCCAGATGCCCCCCGACTCTGTCCAGATGGCGTGACTGTGACAGCACACCTTCCCCGCTCACCGGAACACATGACCACACAGTGGTTCCCAGACGGAGACCCCTGTGCCCCAGTGTGATGTGCTGACCCTGTGAGCCTGAGTGTGGGGTTGACCTGGGTGACCTCTTAAACGTATCCAGAGCCACCCATTCATGTTGGGCCACAGCAGCATAGTGCTTCCTGGCCTGGCTTCCTGGCTCCTTCACTAACCAGCTCTGTAGCCGCAGGCCAATCTATTTACTTCTTTTACCTCAGTTGCTTCAGGTGTAATAACAGCACCAATCTCATTGAATCGTTGTTTAAGTTTAAATGTGAAGTTTTAGCACAATGCCTGGCATTGAGTTAGTACCATATTAATATTATTTAAATGTGTATTAATGAATAAGAGTCATTCGTGAAATAACACTTCAAGATTTCACATACTGTTCATATAGTGAATGCACATTTAGATACTAATAAAATGATATTGCTCAAGATGAGACTGAGTCAAAAATGTACTTTAAAGAAAAATATTAAATAAATATGAGTCTAGGTAGATTGTTGATATGGCAAAAATGGTGAAGACGGGATGGTGAAAATGGCAAAATAATGGAACTGGAACTGGGGAATACTGGTCTATATTATTGTATATAACAGTGTCATCATTAATTGAAGTGTCAAACATGTATAGAGATTCATATGTCAAAAATTCTTGTACCACTTCCTAAGTTGAGGAAATATTAAGATGTAATTGAAGCTCTCTCCCCAGTTGTATTTCTCTATGGTTCACTGACTGGGGAAGGAATATTTACGAGCTACCAGATGTATAACTAGCTAGAAGCTGTTAGTCCTTTTTTTCTGCTCAGTCTCAAGTGAGCTCCAAGGTGTAGTTTCTTCTGGAGAGACACCTTGTAAGGGGGTGTGTGGCAGGGGAAGTGGCTTCCAGACTGTGGTCATCACTTACCCACCCCGGTGATGTAGAGCAGGGCTTGGATTGGGTTAGTCTTCCGTCCACAGTATGAAATCTGAACCTATAGGACAGTAACAAACCCCTAGTGACTTCTCTTAGTCATTCGACAAACACTAATGACCTCTGCTATGTGGCAGCTCAGGGCTGGAGGCTGAGAAGACAGAGATGGGTAAGAAGTGGTTCTAGCCTGTTGGGGGCACCCCAGCGGGTGGGACTGGAAGGGTAGCAGGACACTCAAATGACTGTGATGCATAAAAGAGGGTCCTAAGGGGGTACAGTGGGTTGAGTGGTGGTCCTCCAGAAGATATGTCCACATCCTAATCCCTGGATCCTGTGAACGTGACTGTACTTGGAAAAAAAGAGGTCTTTGCAGATGTAATTAAGTTAGAGATCTTGAGATGAGATCATCCTGATTATCTGGGTAGGTGTTAAAACTGATGACAAGTGCCCTTGTAAGAGTGAGTCAGAGGGACATTTGACAGACTGAGGAGAGGGCAGGGTGACCCCGGAGGCAGAGATCAGAATGATGCAGCCACAAGTCCAGGAATGCTGGTGGCCACTAGAAGCTGCAGGAGGAAGAGAACTGATTCTTCCCAAGAGCCTCCAGAGGCAGTGTGGCCCTACCGACACCTTGATTTGGGACTTCTGTCCTCCAGAATACGTTTCTGTCCAGTGAGTCCAGTAGTTTGCGGTGATCGTTACAGCAGCCACATGATGCTAAACACACGGCCTGGCCAGGTTTCCTGGGGCTGCCTGGCTGTGGGCGCCCAGCACTCACCACCATTTGCAATTGTTGAATTGTATATTACAGGTTGTAAGCCCCGTGAGCGCTGTAATCTTACTGGTCTTGTTCATTTTTGTGTTTCCAGTGCCTGGCTATGCCTGGTATGTAGCGGGTGATTATCAAACATTTGCTGAATGAATGAATTTAGTCAAAACCCTGGCCCCCATAACCCCCTCACATCCCTGTATTGTCTGTGAGGACAGTGTGGCTGGAACAAGCCTCATGAGCTTTTCCAGAGAGAGAGAAGCCCCGCCAGGGCTGGGGCTGGGGGTCAGTGCTGGATGGACTCTGAGCAGCTAACCCGCTGTGACCTGCTTATCTCCTCCCACACGTCCCGCCCACAGCTCCACTCTCACCTTGAGGTCACCCGTGGTAGTGCTAGCAGCCGTCAGCCTCAGGCTCACCTCCAGCCCGGGGTCCAGGGACCACTTGGAGGGACCTGCGGGTTTCTTCTTGGCTGGAGGGCTGTGGGCAACATCCACAACTACTTCTGGGGGAGCATCGATGCTGAAGGACGTGCAGCCCTCAGGGGCAGAGCTGTGGGGGAGAGCGATGGGGAGACAGAGGGACACCCTGAAGCAGGGCCAGCCCACCACTGCTCTCCCCAGCATCCTTCCTTTTCCCAACAAGTGTCAACACCAGATGGCGGCCAGTCTGACGCTGATCGTGGGAGTGAGTACTGTGAGGCTGTCAGGAAATAGTGAGAAACAGAAAGAAAATCCTCTGACCTGGAGGGCTTACACCTGAGCTAGGAAAATTGTAGAGATGTGCACACCAAAGACACACACGCTAGATGTATGCACAGCGCAGAGCGCATTCCCAGAAATTTACAGCACACAAACGTACACACGTAGGATTGTGCATATGCCAAGAATCACACAGATTCTGCTTCTGGAATTATGGCAGACCAGTTCTCTGAAGGACCTTCCCCTTCCAAAGCAACTGGATCGTGGTTATAATACACTTTTTAAAGCACTGATGAGATTACGTGAGGGTAATTTCCAAGGACTTTCTTCTCTGTACGCACACACACACACATACCAGTGGCAAAGCAAAAGGACACACAGGTCTCCAGAAAGAAAAGTCAGATCACCAATAAAGGAACAATAATGAGATTGAAAGCAGACGTTTCAACAGCAATAATGAAAGGCAGAAGAAATGTGGGTCATATCTTCAAACTATTTTGGAAAAACAATTATGAACTTTGTGTACTGGACACAGTAATATTTTAATAAAGACATCTTCAGATGAAGAAAAACTGCTATTTTAAAACCAACACATGTTCACCAAAGCAACTTCTAAAGATATACTTTAAAAAGAAGATATCTGTTGCCACAGTATGGTCTGAGATGTAAGAAAGAATAGTGGGCAAATAAAATGGGAACAGTTTTGGTAAATTAAACAAATATTGCCTGTATAAAAAAGGCTATAAAATATTAAAATCGTGGGATTTAAAAAAGGTAATAATGTAAATCGGGAGGGGTAATGAGCGTTGAAGCATTCTGAGGTTTTTGCTTGATAAGGGAATTAAGATAGTGTTTAGCTCTAGATGTTACAGAGTTAAAATTCCATGATTATAATTTAAAAGTATTTAACAAAAATTTTAAATTTAATATAAAATTTATATTTAATAAAATTTAAAGGTATTCATTTCAAGAATAAATATGGAGAAAATGCAATAATAAAAAAAGAACAGATAGTTTCCACTTAGGCAAAGAAAGAACTAAAGGCAATGTAGAAAAAATGGACAAATAAAAATTTAAAAATGAAATGGTAAAAACAAATCCAAATATATAAATAATCAAAATACATCTAAATGGATTAATGTTACTAGTTAAAAGAGTTTGGGATTAGATAAAGACACTAAATCCAGTTATATGATATTTATAAGAGACACACCTAAAATACAGGGATACAGAAAAGGTGAAATTTTTAAAATAGGAAAAAAGATGTGTTATATCAACACTAACCAAAAGAATGTTAGGGTGGGCATATTAATATCAGACAAAATTAATTTTTAGATAAAAAACACACTTTTAGCATTAGAGAGGACTACAACCTACTAATATAAGGTTCAACTCACCTAAAAGATATTCTAAACTTGAATGCACCTAATAACATAGCCCCAATATGTGTAAAGCAAAATCGAAAGAAAGACCGGAAGAAGTACAAATCCACCATCATAATTGAAGAGTGCAACTCTTCTTTCTCAATTAACAGTGGATTAAGCAGACAAAAAAATTAGTAAGACAATTAACACTGGTTTGGTGGGCATATATATAATTCTGTACCCCACAAGTAGTAAATATATATTTTCCCAAGCAAAGTGCACAGGGATCACTAAAAAAATTGACCATGTAAAGTGGCCATAAGGCAAGTTGCAAAATGTTCAAGGTAACTTAACATACAGTATAGGTGACATATTCTTTGATCACAATATAACTAAGTGAGAAATCACTAGCATAAAGTCTATTTTAAAAAACATTTGAAAATTTAAAAGCTAGGAGTCCAGATAACTTACAAGTCAAAGGATAACTAATGGAAATTTAAAAATATTACTTAGAACTGAACAATAGTTAAAATACTACATTTCAAAACTTTGGGGGCACTGAAGGTGTTACTTTATGCCTTAAATGTCCATATATTTAAAAAGAAGAGAAGAGAAGAGCTGAAAAGTAAGTACAGGGGGAAAAAATAGAAAATAAAATAGAATGTAATCTCTCCAGGTAGAAAAAACAAAGATGGAAAGAAATCTTTGAAATATAAAACAAGTAAATCAATGAAGCCAAAACAGACAAAAGAAACTGATTTTTGGCAAACAGACAAAAGAAACTCTGGCAAGATTGATCAAGGAAATAAAAAATGGAAAGTGAAAATATCACTACACAAAAAGCAGATTTTTCATAGCTAGTTGATAAAAGGTAAACAAGAACCCCACTGCAAACATATTTAATGGTAAAAATTTGAAAACCTTCCCTCTAAGACAGGAACCTGGCAAGCATGCCCACTCTTACACATCTTTTCAACATTGTACAGGAGGTTATAGCCCCTGCATAAGAGAATAAAAAATAAAGGCAAATTTAAAATAAAAGTAAAAGATACTTTTCTTACTGAAAAGAAAAAAAACATGCCATTATTTATGGACAATATGATTATCTGCAAACCCCAAAGGAATGTACAAGCTTAAGAGAAAGAGTAGGAAATTAATTAATAAGGTAGCTAGTAAGGTTAAGAGGCAAAAACCAGTTGCATATCCAAGAACAGACCCATAGATCAATGGAGCAGAATAGAGAGCTCAGATATAAACCCACACATATATGGACAATTAATATGTGGTGAAGGAGCCATGGATTTACAATGGGGGAATGACAGCCTCTTCAACATCTGGTGTTGGCAAAACTGGACAACTTCATGTAAGAGAATGAAACTGGATTGTTGTCTAACTCCATATACAAAAGTAAACTCGAAATGGATCAAAGACCTGAATAAAACTCATGAAACCATAAAACTCATAGAAGAAAACATAGGCAAAAATCTCTTGAATATAAACACGGGCAACTTTTTCCTGAACACATTTCCTAGGGCAAGGGAAATAAAAGCAAAAATAAACAAATGGGACTACATCAAGCTAAAAAGCTTCTGTACAGCAAAGACACCATCAGCAGAACAAAAGGTATCCTACAATATGGGAGAATATATGCATAAATGACGTATCTGACAAGGGGTTAACATCCAAAATATATAAAGAACTCGCACACCTCAACACCCAAAAAGCGAATAACCTGATTAAAAAATGGGCAGAGGATCTGAACAGACACTTTTCCAAAGAATAAATTCAGATGGCTAACAGGCACATGAAAAGATGCTCCACATCGCTAATTATCAGGGAAATGCAAATTAAAACCACAATGAGATATCACCTCACACCAGTTAGGATGGCCAACATCCAAAAGACAAAGAACAACAAATGCTGGCCAGGATGTGGAGAACGGGGAACCCTCCTACACTGTTGGTGGGAATGTAAATTAGTTCAACCATTGTGGAAAGCAATATGGAGATTCCTCAAAAAACTAAAAATAGAAATACCATTTGACCCAGGAATTTCATTCCTAGGAATTTACCTTAAGAAAACAAGATCCCTGATTCAAAAAGACATATGTACCCCTATGTTTATTGCAACACTATTTACAATAGCCAAGAAATGGAAGCAACCTAAGTGTCCATCAGTAGATGAATGGATAAAGATGTGGTACATATACACAATGGAATATTATTCAGCCATAAGAAGAAAACAAATCCTACCATTTGCAACAACATGGATGGAGCTAGAGGGTATTATGCTCAGTGAAATAAGCCAGGTGGAGAAAGACAAGTACCAAATGATTCCACTCATTTGTGGAGTATAACAAAAAAGCAAAACTGAAGGAACAAAACCACAGCAGACTCACAGATTCTAAGAAGGGACTAGCAGTTATCAAAGGGAAGGGGGTGGGGAGGGTATATGGGGAGGGAGGGAAAAGGCGATTAAGGAGCATTATAATTAGCACTCATAATATAGGTAGGTCATGGGGAAGGTAGTATAGCACAGAGAAGACAAGTAGTGACTCTATAGCATCTTACTATGCTGATGGACAGTGACTGCAATGGAGTGTGTGGGGGGGGACTTGATAATCTGGGTGAATGTTGTAACCACAATGTTGCTTATGTGAGACCTTCATAAAATTGTATATCAGTGATACTTTAATTTAAAAAAATCAGTTGCATTTCTATTCACCAGCAATAAATAGTTAGAAAACATAATTTAAAAAAAAACAGATATAATTTATGTTAGGATAAAACATTATAAAATACCTAGGATAAATCTAATGAATGACATGTAAGGGTTTTATAGAGAATGATAAAATCTTATAGAAAGCAATTAGAGAAGATCCAAATTAATAGGAAGAAATACCACAAACATGACTAGGAAGGCTTATTCTCATAAAAGTATGAATTCTCTCCAAATAGATTTATATATTCATTGGAAGTCCAGAGCTTTTCCTGGAACTTGACAAGTTGATACCAAGACTTACATGGCAAATCTAGGGGCTAATACAGTCAAAGTACTCCTTAAGGAAACGAAGCAAAGAGCAAAGGACTTTCTCTGCCAAGATGTGACTTACCATAAAGCCATGCATGGTGGTGTAACAGCTCAGGCAAGGACAAATGGCAGAGGTAACCTAAGGGGGATTGTACTAGATCTATGACTGAAGTGGTCTTGCAGATAACTGGGGAAAGGGGAGATTATGTAATAAATGGTGCTGGGACAATTGCTCATCCATATGGAAGATAATTAAATTGGATGAATAATGAAATAAATTGGTCCCACCATATGCAAAAACAAGCTCCAGGTTGATTCAAAACTTAAACATGAAAGACAGCACTTTATTTTTTTAAAGTAGATTCTATTTTTTAGAGGAGTTTTAGGTTCACAGCAAAATTGAGAGGAAGGTACAGAGATTTCCCATATATCTCCTGCCCCCACTTACATATCATCTTTGCTATCATCAAGCACCCTGCACCAGATGGTTCATTCATTACAATTGATGAGACTGCATCAATACATCATACTCACCAAAAGTCCATGGTTTACATTGCGTTTCGCTATTGGTGTTGTGCTTTCTGTGGGTTTGGACAAGTGTATGATGACGTGTATCCACCACTGTAACGTCATACAGAGCAGTTTCACTGCCCTAAAAATCCTCTGTGCTCAGTAGTTGTTCCTCGCTTCCTGTAAACCCCTGGCAACCATTGATTTTGTACTGTTGCCATAGCTTTGTCTTTTTCGGAATGTTGGAAAAGCGTGCAGTATGCAGCCTTTTAAGATTGGCTTTTTTCTAGTAATATACATTTACGTTTCCTTCATGTCTTTTTATGGTGATAGGCATTTCTTTTTAGCACTGAATAATATTCCATTGTCTGGATGTACCACAATTTTTTATTCATTCACCTACTGAAGGTCATCTTGGTTGCATCCAAATTTTGGTAATTATGAATAAACATAATGTAAACTCCCACTGCCAATTTTTGTGTGGCTATAAATTTTCAGCTCATTTGGGTAAGTACCAAGGATCATACGGTAAGAGAATATTTAGTTTTATAAGAAAGGGCCTATCCTCCAAAGTGGCTGTACCATTTTGCATTCCCACCAGCAATGAATGGGGGTTTCCAGTGGTCCGCATTCTTGTCAGTATTTGGTGTTCTCAGTGTCCCTTTATTTTGGCCATTCTAATAGGTGTGTAGTGGATAATAAACGTTGTTGTTTCAAACTGCTATGTTTTGTAGCAAACTGTTTCACAGTTGCAGATAACTAATACAGGATAAAGAAGTAAGAAAGGACGAGAGAGAGCAAGGGAAGGAGGAAGAAGAAACGAAGGAAGGAAGGAATTGCCTAAAAGACTATGGAATCATCCCACTCAGAGGCATTCACTGACATACTGATATTTTTTTCTCCAGACATGAATTTCTAGAGTAAATTTTGAAGAACCAAAGAGATGTAAAGTAGATGAAAAAACAAAAAAATTTTTCCCTCACTTTCCTAGCCTCTGTTGCCCCGATTTCACTCTGTCTGTGGCCCTCACTTGAGCCGTGTGTTGGAAGTGCCATGTAAGGATCAGCCAGGATGTGAGGCCAGGGGTTGAGTGACAGGGCTCACGGCCTCCCTGAAGGGGGCGCTCACTCCCAGAGGGCCAGGGTGGCCTCAGATGACATGAGGCTCTTTGTCCTTTGCTCCTCAACCTCTCAGTCTCCTGCCACCCCTCCGTGTCCCTGGAGGCCACCCAGACATTCACTGCTGTTCTCCCACCGCCCCGGTTCAGGTGGTGAGTGACGCTTTCAAGGAAATGCCCCAGACCCTCCTGTGGGCACCATTCTAGGACCACAGATGCCCTGCCTGGGACCGGGGAAGCCAGGGGCCACTACTCCTATTATTGAGAACAACAATGCCACCCAGAGCGCTCCTAGACCATTTGTTTAGCCAGAGCCTGGTACAGGGCTTGGCACCTACTAGGTATTCTGTTGGTTTTGTTGAATCAAGTAATTAGTGAATGAATGAATGAATGAATGAATGAATGAAAAACTACCAGGGATATGCCCAGCACTGTGCTAACTACTTAAACATTTTGATGGTTTTTCACATGTAATCCCTATAACCTCCCTACAAAGTGGGTGTTATCCCCATTTCACAGATGAGGAACCTGAGGTTCAGCTGCCCAAGGCTGTCCAGCTAGCCAACAGCAGGGCCAGGCTTCCTACCATGGCCTCTTCCCTGCCAGATCCCGTCTCATCACATCCATGCTATTACACACTCAGGCTTGGCTGAGAGGTGTGGGTGACATGAACTAGGTATGGGTCATGAAGCCCAGGGTCTAGCCTTGCTTCTAGGGCATACTTGCTCTGTGACCTTAGGCAAGTCACCGACCCTCTCTGAACTCCCACTTCCTCAATGGTAAAAGGAGATGGTCCTGTTTGCCCTGTAATATTTCATTTGTGGTGAGGCCCTGGGGAACCCCCACTTGTACACGGCAAAGAACCTCTGCCCTGAGTCTGGTGTGTCCCAGGCCCCTCGGCGTATCTCTCCAGCTGCTCCCCTGAAGGCCAAGCCAACTACCCTGTGTCAGCGGAACCTTCTCATCCAGCATCGCTGGACCTGCCCCCCACCCCACCTCTTCTGCTCCCAGCATGTGCCCTGCTCACCTGTAGACGTCCAGCTGAGTCTCGGTGCCCAGCACACACACGGCGTAGGTGGGCTGCTCTGGGGCCACATGGATCACAGTCCCCTGGGCCATAGTCCAGCCAGCTTGTCCCTCCAGCTGCAGGAAGCCCCTGGGCTGGTTCCTTCATACCACCCCACAGAGCCTGTGAGTCAGCACCTGCGGTCTGCGGCCCAGCAGCTCAGCCCCTCCCCACTCAGGTCCCGGGCGTGTCCTCGCAGGCCCTCCTCTGCCCTGCAGCCGCTCGGACCCTGTAGGTGTGTTGATGCCAGAAGCAGAGGCAGGGTGGCTCTGTCAGTTTCCTGGGAAGGGCCCAGGGCTCAGGGAGCCTAGGGCGGGTGCAGGTTTGAGTCCTGACGACCAAAGCTCCCTCCCTGCCTGGGTCCGTGGCCGCCTGGACCCCCACCCAGCCTTGCTAAGTGTGCCAAGCGGGTGTCAGAGAGAAGGCAAGAAAAGCAAGGTGTTGGGAGATTTTGGGCAGAGGTCGTAGCCTGGGCCGCACGAAGACTAACGGGGCTTGGGATGAGTCTCCCCAGGCTGGGTCACCGCGTGAAGCTCACCCTCGCTGGGCATTCTCTCTGTGCCAGACACATTGCTCTGCATCTACTGGGGAAGGGCTCTTCCAGACAGCCTGTGGGGCAGGTGTACCATCACCCCTCATTCCATTCACACAGAAGCTCTCTGAGGTCAGGGCCATTCCTAGTCCCATTTTACAGAAGAAGAAACCGAGGCACAGAGAGACTACACAGTTAGAAAGTGGTAGAGCCAGGATTTGAACCAAAGGCATCACAGCTCCGAGTAGGCGATTCAGTAGCTGCCAGTCCATGTGACATGAGCTTTGCCGACTTTCTCACGCCAACTTCTTACTATACTACAGGGTACACATATTTGGGCTTATTGTTACTACCCATTTCATGGAAGGGAAAATAGAGGCTCAGAGAAGAGAGGTGACTTGCCCAAGGCACCACAGCTCGTGTGCGGCAGAGCTGGAAGGGGAGGGCGGGCTTCCTGACCTTGAAGCCAGTGTTCCCGGCGCCCTCCACGCCGCCTGCCTCTGCATGTCAGGCCGATTGCAGGTGAGGCCACACCTGCCATGGGTACAGAGAGCCGTGCTCACCTGGGCTGCTGGTGCCAGGCTCCCCCTGCTACTGGTCTGGTGGGTGAGGGGGGTGGGTGGACAGGTCCCAGTGGGGAACACCCGGAGAGAGCATGCGTGGGCATCTGGAGGGAGCAGGGCACATTTGGGGGCGTTGGAGATGGTGTGTGTGTGTGTGCTTTCCGTTTGTTCTGGCTTTGACACAAAGAATTTGCCTCATTAATTAAGAGCCAGGCTGAGAGCACTAGGCAGGTCTGAGTTCCAAACCTGCTTCATGCCAGTGTCCCCATGGTGGGGGGTTCCTATCATGATGCCCACGATATAGATGAGACCCTGAGGCGCAGAGAAACTCAATGACTCCCAAGGCACCACACCGATTAAGTGGGGATCCGCAGTCCAGACCACCTTTTCAAGGCTCAAAACCCGTTTGCTGCTCCAGCAGATGATGTGACCAGACTTGATGCTGTGATTTGTCCACCCAAGGTGTTGCACATAGTAGGTCTTAACAAGCCAATTTCTTTGACTGGTCATATGATTAGGACTAGTTTGAGCTTCTAACGGAAGGAGGTCCTGCCAATCGTCAAAGCTGGGAGAGCCCTCAAAGAACATGAAGTGCAGGCCTGTTCCTGTGCACGGGAGACTGAGGCACCCGGGCCAGGGGGGTGACAGTAGCTACCAGTACACAGCAAGTCAGTGGGGGGTGGGTAGGCTCTCCCCCAAGTCATCTCCTGGGTAGTTTTTTTTTCTCCTTTTTTGTTCAGCAATTTGGGGGTTAAATTTGCTGTGAATAAGCCACAAAGAGAACACTCCAAAAGAAGTTTTGTGAGCCCAACAAAAGTTTATTGAGTGCCTACTGTTTGCCAGACACTGTTCTGGGCACTGAGGACACAAAGTTAACAAAACAGACAAAAATCCTGCTTTCATGGGGCTTTTTTTCTGATAGAAAGAGACAACCAAGAAATAATAAATATGTGAAGTATGTGGGATGTTAGCATTATGGAAAAATGAAACAATACAGCAGGTAAGGGGTAGACTGCAGTTTTAAACTGGGTGGTCAAGGAAGGTGACCTTTAAAGGGAACAGCCATGTAGCCAGTGCAAAGGCCCTGTGGCAGGGCCATTCCTGGTGGGTTTGAGAAAGAGCAGGGAGACCAGTGTGGCTGTAATGCAGTGAAGGAGGTGGGGAGCAGCAACTGGAAGTCAGACACATGGGGCAGGCAGTCAAGGATTCTGGCATCTACTCTGAGTGACATGGGGACCCACTGGGATGTCTGAAGGGAAAAGGACTGTGATCTGACTTGTTTCAGCAGATCACTCTGGCTGCTGTGTGAGAATGAATGGTAGGGGACAAGGAGCATCACAGGGAGGCCAATGAGGAGGCTGTTGTAGTCTGGCAGGTGACCGGTGATAGGGACCCCAACCAGGGTGGGGGCAGTGCAGGAGGTGAGAAGCAGTCAGGTTCTGGACATATTGTGAGGTAACAACCAATAGCATTTGCAAAGGGCCTGGATGCGGGTGTAAGGAAAGAAAGGAACGAAGGATGACTCCGAGCTTTGGGGGCTGAGATCCTGGCGGGATAGAGCTGGCACCAACTGAGCAGGGAGGGCTGGAAGAGGGGCAGGCTGCCAGTGGCATGGGGCTCAGGAGTTTGGCCTCGGCTGTGTCAAGTGGGAGATGTCTGTCAAGTGAGGTGTCCTGCAGGATGGCTGGATGCGTGACTCTGGAGTTTGAGAGTGAGGATTAGGCTGGAAACAATAAATCTGTGGGATGCCAGCATCTAGAGCTCTCCCAGGGGGTGAGTGTGGAGAAGAGGGGCGGGGCCCTGGGGACTCTCCCCGAGACTGAGGAGGAGCAACAAGCAGGAAGAGAAGAGGGCATGTTACTGTTGTTCGCTGTTTCCTGGGGGTGCTATGAGAAACCAGCTCTGTAAAGCACACACACTCACGAGTGAGCGTGCACACACCCAGGGGAAAGCAGCTGTACTTTGGAAGCAAAGCCCTTTTTGCAAACTCACATGCTCTTCCGTGGCAGAGCAGGATTGGGCTCTGTGGTGGGACCTGAAGGCTGTTTGCAAATTACTAGCATCATAAACCGTGCGGCAAAGCATGAATCGTTCCCGTGTCTGTGATTATTTGCAGGGGGCTCGTGGGTATCTCTTTGCCCTGTATATTCTCTTTTCCTAGAATTTGCCACAGCTTGTTGTTATGTGTATGTGTTTAAATGTCTGTCCCCAGCTTGCCAGGCAAGCAGGGCCTTTGCAGGTTTCAGCTGCACCTCCAGTGCTAGAATAGCTCCTGGCTTGGAGTGGGCGCTCAGTGGACACCCGGGCTGAGATCGTGGTGTTCACCAGCACCCAGCCCAGCACTTGACCCAGGGTTCCCATCTTCCTGCTGAGAGGCAGAATTACCAGCTGGGCTGCTCCCCAGAGGCAGCTGTGTGGTGGGTTACCCGATGCCCTCTGGGCACCTGAGCTAATGTCCTAGTGACTGGCCTGGACATCCTTCTCCAGCTGATTGTGATGATGTCACTCTGGGGCAAGGTACTGGTGTCAGGAACTCTCCCAGAGACCCCGAGACTGGGTAGAGTGCAGAGTTGTGTTCGGAGTAGATGGTCAAGCCATTCCTTCAGCGTTACTCATTGACCAGATATGTCTCCTCCTCAATTACTTAGCTCTTCACTCAACATGTTAACACGCATTGAATGCCTCCTAAGTGCCTGGCACTCTTTGAGAGGCTAACTTAGGCTTCATTTAAAATAGATTTACAAGGACCCAGGGCGATAGCAGATCCACAGGCCTTTCAACATGTTTGTCACCAGGTCCTTAGGCTACATTATTTCTTATTTTCACTGTAACCCAGCTGGCAGGACTTATGATCTCATTTCTGCGGAGGAGTGAAGCATTGTGCCCAGGGTCATGTGGCTTCTGGTAGGTTTCAAACCCAGCTTGGTCTAACACACTCCACTCTCCGATGCGCCCCTTACCTGTACCAGGCCGCTGGCACATGTCACCTGTACTTCCCACAGCAAGCTTAACATCTGAATTATACTCTCCTCTTTTTCAGATGAGGAAATGGTGTCTTAGAAGCATGAGGTAACTGACCCAAGGTTACACAGACAGGAAGTGGTGACATCTGGGCTTCATTTTGCCCCTTGGCCCACTCTGCCTGCCGCGCACCTGCCTCCTGGTCAGGTTGCTTGGCCAGTGAGCTCTGCGGCCCCTTCCAGCGCCGACTGCCCAGACTCTCCACAACTTCAAGTAGAAAACTGGCAGTGTGTCTGGATAATCCAAACTGGCTGAAAATGGCAAGTCTGCCCTCCTATTAAGGTGTTCGTCTAAGTGCCCCTTACCTGCAGCAGGTGGGGGAATAGGGTCTTTTCTTCCCCTCTCTGATCCCGCAGCTCTGACCTGCCCCCAACACCTCTCTCTGCTCGCCTTCATAGACTGTTGCAAGCTCTGGAAGGACTCATGGGCCTCCAAGGCAACATCATGACTCTAACACGTGCCTGGCACAGTTTTCATTGTGCTTCCTCATGTGAACGCCATAAGAACCCAGTGAAGGGAGGACATCTGTTAGTCACTGACAGGTGAGCATCACATCAGAGGCAGACATGGAATACAGGTCCATCTGCATGGAAGCCTGCGACCTTCCACTAGGCCATCTGTGAGCAAAGGAAGGGGGCCCACCAGCTGAAGGTCCATGCCCCAGAATTCCTTTTCTGGAACTGGCTCCCACCCTAATCCTAACCCTAACCCTAACCCCAACCCTAGGTGCCCATGTTCCTTCTCCAGCATCCAGGACCTTTCCTGGGGCCCAAGACCATGAGAAGGTCAGCACCACAAAAGCAGGGACTTTCCTTTGCTCATGGCTATACCCCTAGCCCGTAGAATAGTGTCAGCACAGAGTAGTTGCACAAGAAATAACTGTATTTTATTGAACTGAAAGTTATTTTAAGATACATCCCTTGCTTCAGCACCATTTGTTGAAAAGACTATTCTTCCTCCATTGAATTTTTTCCCCAATTTTTATCAAAAACTAGCCCCTACGCTGATGGACAGTGA